GCCACATTTTCCTGGTCAGAGCCTCCCTTATTGCTCCAGCTTTGCGAGATGAATCCTTTCTCTTAGGCAGTTGCGCATCTGCAACAGATCTCGTATTTCTTCTCTGGACCTTTTCTTTTGTGTGAAAGGATCAATTGACAAATCCAGTTGGGCAGGAAGGCTGTCCTTTGTGGTAATGCAGATGTTGTGAAGTACAATACACGCGAGCGCGGCCAGTTTCACCGAATCTGGTCTACATTTTAGCTTTCGATACAAAACTCTCCACCTGCTCTTCAGTTGTCCATAGGCTCGCTCAGTTACCATTCTTGCGCGGCTTAGACGATAGTTAAAATAGCCCTCTTCAGGTGTAAGGTTAGCATTACCATATGGTTTCATTAACCACACTCTGAATGGGAAAGCAGAATCGCCCAAAATCATCGGGTAAACCTTGGTACCTTCAATGACTTGAGAAATTGATGGTATGATGTCGTTTTCAGTAATGTTGTGCCACAAATCAGTGGACTGGAAAATGATGGAATCGTGTGAATTTCCTGAAAAACTTAAACTTGCCCGGATGAAACGATCCTGTGCATCTACAATGGCCATCAATACTATTGAATAAAAGTTCTTAAAGTTATGATACTCTTTACAGGCTTTCAGACCGCCAGGAGGGCACTGAATGGGGATGTGGCACCCATCTACAGCACCTCAGCAGCAGGGGAATTGCCAAAACGCTGTCATATCCACCATTTTCTCCATAATATTCTGTTTGGTGATTGGAAAATGCGCTTGCACCGAAAGTTTCCACAGGTTTCTTATGATCGCTTCACATACTTCCTCTATGATTTTGTGGACGGTCGTCACACCAAGGCCAAACAATTCCGCAATGGTGTATAGGTAGTCACCTCTACCTAATCTATAAAGACATATAGCCAGCCTACATTCGGCAGAAACGGGCTGCTCTGTGACAAAATCTTTCTCAATATCAGGTCGAAGACTCTTCAAAATTAAGTTAAACGTATTCCTTGATACACGAAAGGTTTTCTTAAATCTTCCTTCATCATAGGACGCCCAGACCAATTCCCACCAACCCGTGTTTTTATGACTGTGACGACAACTGCGAGGTCTTCGAACGCTAATTTCATCTTCACTTGACTGTAACAGGAGACACGTCAGCAAACAAAGTCGTACGTACGATAAACCTTTTCCTCATTAACACCGATGTAACCATATTACGCCGTAGTTGACGTCGCCGTTGTTTTTCCCTGGAAATTTTCTCGAGCAAAATTGTTTTCAGAGCTTTAGCCCGCGCCATGTTTGTTTCAAAATGACACCTCTGACCAGAGACACTGCATTTGGGAAGAGAATTAAATTCGACCGTATTGATTTCGACGCATAAAACCACGCCACGATTTATGTCGACGGAACGACGAATTTAATGGAATTAAATTCGTCTGAATTAAATTCGACTGTAGCGCGACGTATAAACTTTTTTCCCGCCCAGAATTAACCTGCGAACTGATCTTACACAAATTTCAATTATTTTCCTTCCACTTTCGTCGAAAAAGAGAAGGAGAATTTATCAGACAATGGTGACCAATTTACTTGAAATCTATCGATTGTATACAGGTCAACACAAGGCTAATGCTAGTGGTATCGAAACTTAAAACGCGTCAATGAAAGCAAGTACTCTACTTCTTGGTTTATATTTACTTGTGTGATCGAAAGGAATTGAATAATACTCTCGCAGCATTATTCTTGATTGAAAAGAAACCAGAATATTCTTGATGAACATCTGACGGTGCGAAAGAACAGCTGTCCTTTTAATCTCTTTCTCTCTCGTCAACGCATGACTTTCGCTCGTGTGCGCGAGACCTTCTGCTCGTGTGCGCGGTATCTTTCGCTCGAGTGCACGTGACTTTCTGCTCGTGTACGTATGACTGTTTGATCTTATACGCGTGACTTTTCCGTCGTGCTCGCATGACTTTTAGCTCGCGCACGTGTGACTTTTTGCTCGTGCGTGCATAGGTTTTTGCTCGCGTGCACGATACTTTCCTCTGGTTCTGCAACTAATTTATTCCCAATATGAGCTTAACTGAGATACGTTTAATTTCAAAACACAGGTAACATGACTTGGACATATTGTATTTTACATCTTTTGGCATCTTTTACCGCCCTCGTTATGGCTGGTGCTCAATGCCGGACAGAAATCAGTATAACTGGTATGGCTCTTGATGGTTTTGTCTTCAAAAGAATGCCAGCAACAGCTCCACATGAGTGTGAAGTCCATTGCGAAAGAGAAATCACATGTCAAAGCTATAACTATGTTGTAGGGGAGAGAATTTGCGAATTGAATAACCGTACCAAGGAGGCGAGACCCCAAAATTTCCGCTCTGACCCCGCACGGTTTTATATCCGACGTTTTATCGGCAGAGGTATGTGATCAGTTTAAGTGGCTTCTGACAGTTTATATACTTCAGTGTCTTGATGAATCACCCACCAATACAAACGCCCTTCTTATTATGATGATAAAGATGTAACCAAAAATATAGTTATACCTTTTTGAGCCGGCGAGATGACATGGAGCGAACCACAGAAACGAAATTTGTTCTAAAAGATAACCCTTAATTTTTCAGTTCCCTTGAGTTCCATTCCTGGATTACCAGCGATATCTTGCCGGGAAATAGAGGCGAGTGAAGGCAAATACAACATCAGCAACAAGCACTGGCTGCATAGCAGTTTGACGGGACAGGCAGAGTTGGTTGATTGTAGTGACACAGTGAAAGGTGAGTTTTAGGTTCTTCTGCCCTTGTATTACACTCTGCTGTTTTTACTTCATATTTTATATTTTATACATTCAAGTCTAAGAGAAAATTAATGGACCACCAGCAAGCCTTTGCTTTCTCTTGATTGTAACGACGCCTTTCTTTTATTCCATAATGCTCCATAACTCTTATTGTTTGGTTTGTGACGTCACAGTGGCAATTCAGACGATGATGTTGATAACGAGGACGATGACGATAAGAAAACAATGGCGAAAATTTCGATCAGAAAACAAACGAACACACAAAAATGTACAATGAATCACATTAATTTATCAATTTATCAAATTCCAAGATGCTTAATAGTAATTCATGATACGATTTAACAACAAATACGCCAATTCACAAGGAGCATTTATAACGATAGCCAGTAATATTACTTTCAAATGTCAGTGAGCTGAAAACTCCTGTGGCATGAAATGTTCGCAGACCGTGACATGTAAGTATAAAACCTGCTCTTAAAGGCGCGGCCAAATGCACGCAACATTTCAACATCTTGCAATAATGTTGGATCGCGTTGTAAGATGTTATAAAGGAGCAAAATGTTGCTACACCCTGTAACATCATGTTGCTACAGGGTGACCAAACGTGTGCAACACGCTGCGCGCAACAATGTTGACCGAGCCTTAACACAATTTGCCTCTTAACGCTCAACATTGTAACCCTGGCAGCTTATTTCACATCAGAGATCACCCCTTATTCAAACTCTGAGGGCACCAGAATAAAGCAACTGATCGACAACTTGAAAAGTTCTTGATCATTCAAATGATTCTCTCTTGTCTATTGTATGTGCATACTAATGATAGGGTGTAAAGGGTTTATGGCTCCCACGATATTTCACGATATTAGGAGGGGATGCCGCCAGAAGTGATGACGATCACTCTGACGATGACGAAAAAGAAAAAGATATCAATCGGATTGATTTATCAAGTTACATCTTGCTTTACATCGATTCACTGCAAAATTAATCTGTATAAGTTTTCACCACTTTCAATACACTTTTTTTTATCCATTAGATTGCGACGCTAATCCTTGTAAAAACGGTGGAACGTGTATAGAAGTACCCAGTACAAAAACTTACAAATGCAACTGTGCGGATGCATTCACAAGCAAAAACCGTTCAGAATCAACAGCCGTCGAGGGGGAACAAACAAAACCTACTAAGGAATACCAATAGACCAATTTACGATTTATTTTACTAAAATGTTGTTAAATCTCAGCTAAATTAAATCTTAAAAACGATTGCTGAAAACAAGCGAAGTAGCAAAGAGTGTGGCCTTCTCTAACAATTGTACTTGTTTTCCATTTCGTAGCAACTGTTGCAAGTCTTGATAGAGGCACTGGACAACCTCAAAATGGAAATGACTATGACTTTGAGCTTATATTCAGAAAAACTCAACATACGAGCTATGTGAAACACAATATGAATAAGAAGTGGGTTGATCACTTTACCGTCTGTGCCTGGATACACACACCAGATTTACAACAGAGCCAAGAGATGACTGTGATAAGTATTTTGAACGAGAATGGTGGCAACCAAAACGTTGTGAGATTGAGGATCGACGGAGAAGGCAACATTTATTTTTCATTTAGAGGTGGCAGGTAAGGAGTTTTTGTGAGCCACAATTATCAGAGAAGAATCATTCACCTTGTCGTTATCAATTTATATAGGCGTTTTTTTTTCGTTTAAATAGAACAGACTTTTCCTGTCGATTCCTTTAGCTAGGAATTTTTTGCTTCAAAGGCTGATTTTAAGACAAGTATATCAACAGTCAAGCGTCCTTTCGTAACAAAATAAAAAAATTAAATGTTTATGTTTAAGTTAAGTAGTACGCGTTTAAAACGAAGAAAAAAAATATTGTAAGCTTTGATAAGATTGTTGAAATGTTAGTTAATAATTACTCACTGATACTGACGTAAATAACTGTTTTAGTATTTACCACACAGAAACCAAAAATATTAGCTTATTTCTGTCAATAAACAAAAATTATCGGAAATTAAATTGTTGACGCGCGATTTTGTCTCTTTGGCTGCTTGGAGGTGAATATTACTTGCTGATCAGCGCGCGCGAAAGGCACTACTGGCCTGTGTGCTATATACTAAAATGAAAAGAGCTACATAAATTCAGTTATATTCAATACTCTAGGGGATAAAGAGATTACCTTTTAGTAGATACTTGCGTTTTTTTCCTGAAGGACCTCCCTTTCCAACGTATTCGCTACCAGTTCTCCGAAGAATGAAATGGTCTTCCTCTGTGTTCGTATCCAACCTAACCACTCTCCTAAAATAGAAGCGATCGTAAATGCAGATTTCGCTTCAAAAAAAACTAGCAACGGAGTTAATTACAAAAGCCGTCAGTGGACTCAAGTAATCATCGGACAAAATCAAAACAACGACGGAACTATTACAAACAACATCCCATTCTATGGAAGGATTTCGAACTTAAACATCTGGTTTAATCTCTCTGATCACGATATTACAAATTGGTTCAACGGAGGTCGGAAAAATACCGAACCTAGCATCCTTAAATGGCCACAACTTGGTTCTTCCGAGAGATTTGGAGACGTTCATTTTGTAAAGGTCACTTCTGCTGAGAGACGTAAGTTTAATGGACTTGATACTCTGCCTTATTATCTAACTGCACTAAGTAGATTGCGAATAACGCGCGAATCGAGTACAAATATCCTGCGATATTGTACAGTTGTTTATTTTGTATAGAAAAAACCTGTTTAATCGGTCTACTGCCTCGCTTTTCCTACTCTTAAAGAAATGCGCATGAAATAAAGCAGTTGGATCATAAATATCTTATCAGATTAGACTCATTGTTTGTAGTTTGACACGCTCTCCGAGCTCGTCAAGATACGGCACAACCCATAAATATACTCAGTGATACTATATACCAAAATGTTTAATATGATATATTTATAGTGCTTAATGCAAAGTTAAATTTATCTAGAAAAAGTGGGCGGGAAGAAATGGAGAGTAGGAAAGTGCTCAAGGACACCCGACTTTGTGTCGTTAACCAATAACCCGAGGACAAGCTATATTTGAAGCACAAAGCAAAGGAAACTGCTCATCAGCCATTAGAGAGGATTTGGAGGTCTGTCAAGGCTTGAAGGAGAGGGGAGGGTTTTGGAGCCCTCTGACGCTCCCCAATAGATTCGCCCACGTCAACACTTTAACGAAGGCTACTAACCTAGTAAAAGCTGTGTTTTTAATTATTACACTAAGTCGAACTGTCGGGTGTATACGTTAGTTATGGTGAATGATTCTTTATTTTTTTGTTTAGAGTGGCGTGACGTTTCAGATGGTGAGGTGAATGTCCTAACAACAAATGATGTTTCGGCGACGAAATCTTTTGAAAGTGGATCTGGAGTAGTTATCGAAGTTGAGCGTCAGTCACCAGTCTCTTGTAGCAATGCAATTGATTCGGTCACAGTTGACGGCGTGTTGATATCTGTAAATGGAAGCTGGAAACGAATCAAATATAAGCAGACGTTCATGGGAACTCAGAAATGCTTTGCAATTTTTGGGAGCGTTCCTAACTGGTGAGATACTTACTTCATCTCTCATATTTCTCTTGTAAGTATCGTCCATCTGGAAAGTCGCGGAAAGGGGAGGGTGGGGATACTTTGGTATTCATTAATTCTAAACCTTGAGAAAGACTTTGAAAGGTCAGTGCGCCAACTTTCTTTCTATCTAAGGAACTCGCTGTGCATGGAATTGTTTCGCGAATTCAATTTTTTATTCCCCAACCCCTCCTCGAACTATTTTTTTTTATATTGAGTGAGGAAACATCTGTGTATTTCATGAACTTCCGAATTTCAGTTTTGGAAAATCACTGGGTTTTCTGGCTGTCAACGTCGTTTATTTGGAACGGCTTCAACTCACGTGTTTTAAAGCCCTGAGAAAAAGCAATTACAACATTATCTGGAGAAAAGCAAAAATAACGTGTCATAGAGGACTCAGTTGACGTTTTGGTGTCAAACGCGGGAAAACAAGGGCATATCAGGCTGTATCGTTACTTAAACAAAGCAGTGACTTTTTTATTTTAGCCAAAGAAACTTTTTGCCCAAGTAACAATCCTTGGTTAATTATTTCATCACTACAGGGCCTCTGGTATATTCAATCCCGGTGTTTTGAAATTCGACCTTAATTTGGATGAACTTTGGAAAGAAGAATATCTTGGCCCAAATGGTAATAAACGCATCTAATAAACCTTGTAAGGGATTTAAAGTTAACTGGTAATGTCGCTCAAGGAAGTGTACCTCATGGGCCTGAAATAGTTTGCTTTAGTAAGTTTTTTCCCTAAATTCTCAGATTTAAATTATGAAACTGTTCAAAAGTGACGATGGAACTTCACCGTGTGATATTTAATATGAAACTATTTAAAGCACTCTCTCCTCACCTCTATAAGGAAAGGAATACAGCAGAGTTAAGGCATTGATAAATTTATAAATTTAAGGGTAGTTTGCATTTGGCGACTCTTGTGTCCGCACCACACTCGACGTTACCTTTGCTCCAAAGTCTCACCGTTGCATCAATTTGTTTTGGACAAAAATAGATCATTGTGGTGTGATCTGTAAGACTGTGCTGATATACACAGGAAAAAAATCTGTGTAGAATTCAGATATTGATGACAACAATAAGCATTCTGATGATTATACACTATAATACTACATTAGATTTGTCTCCCTGTTCTTTTCAAGGTCATCATTTCGATGGCGTGAATGCTTTGTGTGGTGATGAACACTTTTGGATGGTAAATCAACCAAATACTCCGGTAGCCGGAGTCAGTCTGAGACGAAAGAGCGGCGGGGCGATTGCCGGGATATCCACCTTTGGCAAGTGTGGAATGTTAAAGTTCAAGATTTCTGATATTCGTGTTCTGGAATAAAAATTCTGTATCGAGTCCTGGCTAATCCAAGTTGTTATTGGCGACACAAGTTGCGGTCCTCTCCCAGCTGATGCTTGTGATGTCATGACAGAATGTCACGTGGCACCCCAAACAAAGGCTTCGAAGGAGAATAAACACGTAATTGCCTTTAGCGCCTTTGACTGGCTAGGACTTGAGCCTGCGATTAATTGATAAGTTTGTGCAGTTAAATCACCTTTTAAGCACAACAGCACTATGACAGTAAACTGCATTAGAAGCAGAGCTGGATATTACTTTACTTTGAAATAATTAGAGTGTTTGCTATTTTACAGACACTGATAGTCGAATGAACACAAACTGTTGAGGGAAGACGATCAAGATCTCACATTCAGCTTGTTTTCACTCGTTCTAAGGCCGTTTTTTTTTCACATCTAATTATAAGAATTAACACAACAGACAGCCTGTGGCTAAAAGTAGTCATGTTCACACTTCACTTTAGAGGCGAAAACGGGAATATATGGATAAGTTGCTGGGTGTTCTACTGCCGTTGTAATACTTTGAACAAGGTTTATGGTATGTAATGTTAAAAGTTTTTTGTTCATTCATTCCAAAAAATTTTGTTTACACTCGTGTTGAAATTCTACCAGGGAAGGAGGTACTGGGAACTAGTTTAGCCTTCGCACTTATTATAGATAACTCGTCTGTGGATTTTTTACCAAAAAAAATGCCGAAATAAAAGTACTTCGCACTGAAAACCCACTTAGCTGTCGTATGGTCAGAAAAGACACGTTTCAAATGCTGGTACACCACATGGTGGGTCAATATGAAGGGTTAGTGTGACTCTAAGGGCGCAGGGTATTCCATTAAATGAAGTTACTTATGCGTTAAAGACCAAACAGAAGATAAATCAGAAAACAAACATGAGTGAATCAGAAGATGTGTTATCATTGGCACGTTTGGAACGACAGGGACTGGTGCCAAGTTTTTTAATATATCACTCGAAGTACAAGTTCTAGGTGCTAACGCCGCCTTGAATGCTGCTTGTTTCCACAATATATCCAATTCATGACCATAGTTTTAATTCCCTGGTAACTGCTTGAGAATGTGGTGTGAGATTTTGCCAGGCCAGTCATATAGAAACTCAAAATAGAAAAATACCGGATTACAGATTACTCTCGACACTCAAAAGAAAAATCCTCCACTGAGTAAGAATCCGCGGGAAACTAAGCGTCTTGAACCTCTTCGGGGTGTTATTTCGCTTGCTTATTCACTTATCCGCTAATTTGATTGAACTGAGACCAATACAAGGTTTAAACATGTTTTGAAGCTGCTTTGTTAAACAAGATCGAAAGTTGTTTTCTACATAGAAGCTACTTAAACCGATGTTTGCCGACTTCAGTTGTTGCACATAAAAAAAATCAAGTCAGCGAGTACTTTAATCCTATGGAAAATAGAGCTCTTTAGTTCTCTGTTTATGATTTTCATTTAGTAAAACCCGGTTTAACCAAGCATAGTTTGCTGGTGTGAATGAGATACAAGAGAGTCACGGAGAAGGAAATATTCCTTCTTTATGTTTTTCGAGGAAACGAAACAGTTTACTCACATACACGCACAGGGAACAGCAAGGAACACATAGGGAAAAAATGGAAGAAAATGACAAATATTTTATTCTTCTTCCTGAGCTAGCTTTGCAATGGGAAAATTTTCCTCGTCGGTAGATTTAATATATAATAAATGAAGATAAACATTATAAAGCGAATAAAGCTGTTTTAATTAAAACCTCTGGACTCCCAGAGTGCAAAAGAAGTATTTTATGAGCTTATACTTGTCACGCGATGCAAGAACACCTGTTCGAGATCAATGAAATATACATTTTTATTTCGATTAAAACATGAGACCAATTCGTCCAGTTGCAGATATATAGAGGTTATATGTTATCAACTATAATTAATTTAGTTAGATTCTGCCAGATCAGTGACAAAGCAAATGAAAATAGAAAATTACCATTCCAGATTACTCTCGACATTCAAATGAAAATTTCTCCACTGAGCTAGAATCCGCTGGAAATTAAACGCATTGAGCCGCTTTCGGGGTGTTTTTTCGCTCGCTTATTCGATTATTCGGTTGAAATGAGACCGAGAGAGTCACGGATAAGAAAATATTCCTTTTTTATGTTTTTCGAGGAAAACGAAACAGTTTATACGCAACGTTTAATTTTGTTTACTCGAGTTTCTTCAGTGGCTACCACACGCACAAGGAACAGCGAAGAACATATAGGGGAAAGAATGGACGAAAAGAGATCTTAATTGATATTTTATTGTTCTTCTTGAGCTGGCTTTGCAATAGGAAATTTTCCCCGCCGGTAGAATTCTTTGATGACAAGGGAAAATAAACACAATAAAGCGAAAAAAAGCGTTTTAATTGAAACCTCTGAGGACCTTTAGGGTGCTTCACTGGTCTTAGTGCTCTTGTAGCGAGATTTGTTATCAGGTCGTCCTTGTCATGCAATGTAAGAACACCTGTTCGGCATTAAGGGAACAATGAAATATATAACTAATTCGATTAAAACATCACAGCTATTCTTTCAGTTTAAGATAAATAAAGGTGATATTTTACTGAATACAATGTAGTAAGATATTGCTTTCGATTTGGGAAATCTATAGCCTACAAATACAGCCGCTGCAGTTAAGGGTAACTGTGAAGGACAACATACGTAATAATTTGAAAGATAGAGCTTTTTGTTCGCTACAGCAAGTTTCAATTTCATTAGGCACTCTCTGTCTTCAAATGAAATTAAAAAGGTTCTCGGAAATTTTAAAACAATCAACGAGGTGGGATGTTGAAAATGTTATTCTGCGGAGTGAATCTTGTTTAGAAAACAGAAGTACTCTCTGATAGCTTTTGGGGTTATACGAGGGTTTCGAGTGCTTTCTGTAAGTCTCAACAACATGAATACTTTAGGAACAGCTTCGCCTCATTGGTTACACAGGAAATTACCTCGTAAATATACTTCTAATTTCCTAGCAAAACCTGTAGGGAATGTTCATCTAACATTAGTGTTTACTTTAAAACACCTGCCTTCTATTGTTAGTAATTTCTAGACTGGTATTTATGCAGGAGATAGATGGTATAGAGATGAAACACTTTCCGGCTATTCAAAGAAATGAGAATGCAGTTAATATTCTAGTGGTTTAAAATAAGGAAATAAATACCAAAAGCCGACTGGGGTGAAATCTAAACAAGAGAAAAAACAATTTGTTTTTCCATCTGTTTTCTAGGAAGCTATAACTGCAATCAGTCGGCTAAAGATACAACGAAAGACCCTTAGATTGAAGCTACACGTAGAATTGGCTAAATAAGCTATGAAGGACTGAATACAATTCTCTGACATCTTGGAAGGTGAGGAACATTTTGGGTTATAATTTCACTACAAATTTGCTAAGGATTAGCGACAAGAATCACAATTCTGTTATGTTTGATAATTTAGACTTAGGAGAAATTTCCTTTTTTTCTATAGGATTTTTGGAATGTGGCCGTTGTCCTAAATATAAAGGGTCGATCAATGTTTTTGGCCAGAAATGTTATTTTTTTACCGTTATGTAAAAAGATTTTCAACTTTTGCTATCCGTGTCCATTCTCTTTTGATATTTTATTACCAGATTTCGTCATGAAAGACCAAAAAAACACTCCCATACATACACGTAGCATATTACTCGAGATCTTTTCGTTCTTTATCAGTTTGTTGAGCGCTAAATAAACGGGCGCCTCTTCCTAACTTCGTCTTTTTTCCCGCCCAGAATTGACCCGCGAACTGATCTTATACAAATTTCAATTAGTTTCCTCTCCACTTTCGTCTAAAAAGAGAAGGAGAATTTATCAGACAATGTTGACCAATTTACTTGAAATCTATCGACTGTATACAGGTCAACATAAGGCTAATGCTAGTCATATCGAAACTTAAAACGCATCAATGAAAGCAAGTACTCTACTTCTTGGTTTATATTTACTTGTTTGATCGGATGGAATTGAATAATACTCTCGCAGCATTATTCTTGATTGAAAAGAAACCAGAAGTTGGAAGCATCTTTCTCTTGATGTATAATTTATTACCGAATATTCTTGATGAATATCTGACGGTGCGAAAGAACAGCTGTCCTTTTAATCTCTTTCTCTATCGTGAACGCATGACTTTCGCTTGTATGCGCATGACTTTCGCTTGTGTGCGCGAGATCTTCTGCTCGTGTGCGCGGTATCTTTCGCTCGAGTGCACGTCACTTTCTGCTCGGGTACGCATGACTGTTTGATCGTATACGCGTGACTTTTCGCTCATGCGTGCATAGGTTTTTGCTCACGTGCACGATACTTTCCTCTGGTTTTGCAACTAATTTATTCCCACTATGAGCTCAACTAAGATACGTTTAATTTCAAAACACAGGTAACATGACTTGGACATATTGTATTTTACATCTTTTGGCATCTTTTACTGCCCTCGTTATGGTTGATGCTCAATGCCGGACAGAAATCAGTATTCCTGGTATGGCTCTTGATGGTTTTGTCTTCAAAATAATGTCAGCAACAGCCCCACATGAGTGTGAAGTCCATTGCGAAAGAGAAATCACATGTCAAAGCTATAACTACGTCATAGGGGAGAAAATCTGCGAATTGAATAACCGCACCAAGGAGGCGAGGCCCCAAAATTTCCGCTCTGACCCCGCACGGTTTTATATCCGACGTTTTATCGGCAGAGGTATGTGATCAGCTTAATTAAGCTGCTTGTAACAGTTAAAAATCACTAGGTACCTCGATTTTTCGCCGATCAGTGCCGCAGTATCATAGACCAGTTAAAAAGATTCAAAAAAAGAGATCGGACTTTTCTAAGCCAAAGACTTGACGCTGAGCAAACCATAGCAACGAAATTTAAAGATACCGCTTAATTTTTCAGTTACCTTGGGTTCCATTCCTGAATTACCAGCGATATCTTGCCGGGAAATAGAGGCGAGTGAAGGCAAATACAACATCAGCAACAAGTACTGGCTGCATAGCAGTTTGACGGGACAGGCAGAGTTGGTTGATTGTAATGACACAGTGAAAGGTGAGTTTTAGGTTCTTCTGCCCTTGTATTACACTCTACTGTTTTTACTTCATATTTTATATTTTATACATTCAAGTCTAAGAGAAAATTAATGGACCACCAGCGAGCCTTTGCTTTCTCTTGATTGTAACGACGCCTTTCTTCTATTCCATAATGCTCCATAACTCTTATTGTTTGGTTTGTGACGTCACAGTGACAATTCAGGCGATGATGTTGATAACGAGGACGATGACGATAAGAAAACAATGGCGAAAATGGCGATCAGAAAACAAACGAACACACAAAAATGTACAAAATCACATTAATTTATCAATTTATCAAATTCCAAGATGCTTAATAGTAATTCATGATACGATTTAACAACAAATACGCCAATTCACAAGGAGCATTTATAACGATAGTCAGTAATATTACTTTCAAATGTCAGTGAACTGAAAACTCCTGTGGTATGAAATGTTCGCAGACCGTGACATGTAAGTATAAAACCTGCTCTTAAAGGCGCGGCCAAATGCACGCAACATTTCAACATCTTGCAATAATGTTGGATCGCGTTGTAAGATGTTATAAAGGAGCAAAATGTTGCTACACCCTGTAACATCATGTTGCTGCAGGGTGACCAAACGTGTGCAACACGCTGCGTGCAACAATGTTGACCGAGCCTTAACACAATTTGCCTCTTAACGCTCAACATTGTAACCCTGGCAGCTTATTTCATCTCAGAGATCACCCCTCAAACTCTGAGGGCATGAGAATAAAGCAACTGATCGACAACTTGAAAAGTTCTTGATCATTCAATTAATTCTGTCTTGTCTATTGTATAGAGGAAATGCATACTAATGATAGGGTGTAAAGAGTCTATAACTCCCACGATTTTTCCCTTTCAAAAGAGGGGATGCGGCCAGGACAGATGACGATCACTGACGATGACGAAAAAGAAAAAGACATAAATGGCATTAATTATCAAGTTACATCTTGCTTTACATCGATTCACTGTAAAATTCATCCTTAGAAATTTTCACCACTTTCAATACACTTTTTTTCGTCCATTAGATTGTGACGCTAATCCTTGTAAAAACGGTGGAACTTGTGTAGAAGTACCCAGTAGAAAAACCTACAAATGCAACTGTACGGATGCATTCACAGGCAAAAACTGTTCAAAACCAACACCCGTCGTGCGGAGTACGGACGCATCCCGTGAGTATAGTAAACTTCATTTTTTCGCTTAAGATATCCCACGAACTCAACCTGTTATTCCTTATGATGCCATTACAATGGCCGAATGCCGCTTATTCCCTACCAAAAGAAAAGAAAAAGCCTCTAAGATGTCAAAAATAAGCAGTTTTTAAAATATTCAATTTCCAACACAAACCTCTTATTAATATTAGCTTGCGTTGCAGTTGTTTCCTTATAAGAGCGAGGTCTGGGGCCAAATGAACCAAACAAATAACGTGCATGCAATGTGTGGGGGATGGGGAGGGGACAGCTGGGGAGGGGGAAGAAACAAAACCTACTAAGGAATACGAAGAGACCAATTTACGATTTATTTTACTAAAATGTCGTTAAATCTCAGCTCAATTAAATCTTAAAAAACGATGGCTGAAAACAAGCGAAGTAGCAAAGAGTGTGGCCAGAAACTTGCCAATTTTAATGTAACAGTTGTACTTGTTTTCCATTTCGTAGAAACTGTTGCAAGTCTTGATAGAGTCAATGGACAACCTGAAGATTCAGATGACTATGACTTTGAGCTTATATTCAGAAAAACTCAACATACGAGCTATGTGAAACACGATATGAATAACAAGTGGGTTGCAGGCTTTACCGTCTGTGCCTGGATACACACACCAGATTTACAACAGAGCCAAGAGATGACTGTGATAAGTATTTTGAACGAGAAGAATGGCGGCAGCCACAACGTTGTGAGATTGAGAATCGACGGAGAAGGCAACATCTATTTTTCATTTGGAAGTGACAGGTAAGGAGTTTTTGTGAGCCACAATTATCAGAGAAGAATCATTGACCTTGTCGTTATCAATTTCTATAAGCGCTTTTTCTGTCGTTAAAATAGAGAAGACTTTTCCTGCCGATCCTGTTAGCTTGGCATTTTTTTGTTTCAAAGGCTGATTTTAAGACAAGTATATCAACATTCAGTCGTCCTGTTTATTTTAATGTTTATTTTAATGTTTATTTTAATGTTTATTTTAATGTTTATTTTTAAGTTAAGTAGTACGTGTTTAAAGCGAAGGAAAAAATAATGTAACCTTTGGTAAGATTGTTGCAATGTTAGTTAACAACTACTCACTGACACTGACGTAAATAATTTTTTTTAGTATATACCACACAGAAACCAAAAATACTATCTTATTTCTGTCAACAAACCAAAAAATGAGCGGTGGTTAAATTTTTGACGCGCTATTTTGTCTCTTTGGCCACTTGGAGGTGAGTAGTACTTCCTAATCACTTCCGAACCAGCCAATCGGCGCACGCGAAAGAGCTACATAAACTCAGTTATATTCAATACTATAGGGGATAAAGAGATTACCTATAAGTACATGCTTGCGTTTTTGTTTTTGAAGGACCTCCCTTTCCAACGTATTCGCTACCAGTTCTCCGAAGGATGAAATGGTCTTCCTCTGTGTTCGTATCCAACCTGACCAGTCACCTAAAATGGAAGCGATTGTAAATGCAAATTTAGGTTCAAAAAAGACCAGCGACGGAGTTAAGTACGAAAACGTTCAGTGGAGTCAAGTAATCGTCGGACAAAATCAGGGCAATGACGGTACTATTACAAACGATACCCCATTCTATGGAAGGATTTCGAACTTAAACATCTGGTTTAACTCTCTCACTGATGCCCAAATTACAAATTGGTACAACGAAGTTCAGAAATATTACATACCTAACATTCTTAAATGGCCAGAACTTGGTTCTTCTTCCAGGATTGGAGACGTTCATTTTGTAAAGGTCACTTCTGCTGAGAGACGTAAGTTAAATGGACTTGATACTCTGCCTTATTATCCAACTGCATTAAGAAAAGTACGAATAACGTGGGAGTCGAGTACAAATATCCTGAGATATTGTACAAGTGGTTAAGCCTGTTTAACCGGTCGGCTACGCGCACTACGCTTCTCTACCTGCCTCGCTTTTCCTACTCTTAAAGAAATGCGCTTGAAATTAATAAAGCAGTTGGATCATAAATATCTTATTAGAGTAGAATCATTGTTTGTAGTTTGACTCGCCCTCCGTGCTCGTCAAAATACGGCACAAGTCGTAAAAATACTCAGCGATACTACACACCAAAATGTCTAACATGATATATTTGTTGTACTAAATGCAAAGTTAAATTTATCTAGAAAAAGTGGGTGGGAAGGGATGGAGAGTAGGAAAGTGCTTAAGGACACCTGACTTTCTGTCGTTTACCAGGACTTACCAATAACCCAAGGGCAAACTATATTTGAAGCACAAAGCCAAGCAAACTGCTCATCTCTAATCATTAGAAAGGATTTGAAGGTCTGACAAGGCTTGAAGGAGAGGCGAGGGTTTCGGAGCCCTCTGACCTCCCCCCCCCCTAGATTCGCCCTTGTCAACACGTAAACGCTGGCTATAAACCTACCAAAAACTGTGTTTTTAATTATTACACTAAGTCGAGCTATCGGGTCTATACTTTAGTTATGGTGGGTGTTTCTTTATTTTTCTCTTTAGAGTGGCGTGACGTTTCAGTTAGTGAGGTGGATGTACAAACAACAAATAATGTTTCGGCGACGAAATCTTTTGAAAGTGGATCTGGAGTAGTTATCGAAGTTGAGCGTCAGTCACCAGTCTCTTGTAGTAATGCAATTGATTCGGCCACAGTTGACGGCGTGTTGATATCTGTAGATGGAAGCTGGAAACGAATCAAATACAAGCAGACGTTCATGGAAACTCAGAAATGTTTTGCAATTTTTGGGAGCGTTCCTGATTGGTGAGATATTTACTTCATCTCTCATATTTCTCTTGTGAGTATCGTCCATCTGGAAATTCGCGGGAAGGGGAGGGTGGGGATACTTTGGGATTCATTAATTCTAATCTTTACAAAAGCCCTTGAAAGGTCAGAGCACCAAATCATTGTGTCTTATAGTGTGTGAGGAAACATCTCTGTCATTTATGAATTTGCGAACAGCAGTTTTGGAAAAGCACTGGGTGTTCTGTCTGTCAACGTCGTTTATTTCGAACGCTTCAATTCAGGGTTTTAAAGCCCTGAGAAAAAAGCAATCATAATATTATCTGGAGAAAGACAAAAATAACGCGCTATAGAGGACTCAATTTACGTATTTGGCGTCAAATACAGGAAAACAAGTGTATCAAAACTTGTATCAAGCTGTATCGTTATTTAAACAAAGCAGTGACTTTTTTATTTCGGCCAAAGGAACTTTTTGGATAAGTAACAATCCATGGTTAATTCTTTCATCATTACAGGGCCCCTAGTATATTCACTCCCGGTGTTTCGGAATTCGACCTTCATTCGGATGAACTTTGGAAAGAAGAATATCTTAGCCCAAATGGTAATAAAGGCATCTAAAAAGTCTTGTAAGGGATTCAAAGTTAACTGGTAACGTCACTTAAGGAAGTGTGTCTTATACGCCTAAAATAATTTCCTTTAGTAAGTTTTTTCCTTCAATTGTCAGATTTAAATTATGAAACTGTTCAAAAGTGACGATGGAACTTCACCGTGTGATATATAATATGAAACTATTTAAAGCCCTCTCTCCTCCCCTTTTTAAGGAAAAGAATACAGCAGAGTTATGGCATTGATAAATTTATGAATTTAAGGGTAGGTTGCATTTGGCGAATGCTTGTAGTAACATTATTTAACGACTCTTGTGTCCGCATCACACTCGACGTCTCCTTAGATCCAAAGTCTCACCGTTACATCAATTTGTTTGGGACAAAAATAGATCAGTGTGGTGTGATCTGTAAGACTGTGTTAATATACACAGGAAAAACATCTGCGTTGAGTTCAGCTATTGATGATAACAATAAGCATGCTGATGATTAAACACTGTAGAACTACATTAGATTTGTCTCCCTGTTCTTTTCAAGGTAATCATTTCGATGGCGTGAATGCTTTGTGCGGTGATGAACACTTTTGGATGGTAAATCAACAAAATACACCTGTAGCCGGAGTCAGTCTGAGACGGGAGAGCGGCGCGTCGAATGCTGGGATATCCACCTTTGGCAAGTGTGGGATGTTCAAGTTCAAGATTTCTGATATTCGTGTTCTGGAATAAAAATTCTGTATCAAGTCCTGGCTGATCCAAGTTGTCATTGGCGACACAGGTTGCGGTCCTCTCCCAGCTGATGCTTGTGATGTCATGACAGAAATGTCACGTGGCATCCCAAACAAAGGCTACGAAAGAGAAGAAACACGTTACTGCCTTTAGGGCCTTTGACTGGCTAGGACTTGAGCCCGTGATCAATTGATAAGTTTGTGCAGTTAAATCACCTTTTAAGCACATCAGCACTATGACTGTAGATTGCACTGGAAGCAGAGCTGAAAATCACTTCACGTTGAAATAATTAGACTTTTCGCTATTTTATAGACAATGACAGTCGTATAAACACAAACTGTTGAGGGAAGACGATCAAGATCTTACATTTAGCTTGTTTTCACTCGTTCTAAGGCCGTTTTTTTCATATCTATTATAAGAATTGACACAACAAACAGCCTGTGGCTAAAAGTAGTCATGTCCCAACTTTACTTTAGAGGCGAAAAGCGGAATTAATGAATACGATGCTGGGTGTTCTGTAATATTTTGAACAAGGTTTATAGTATGCAGTTTTAAAAATTTTTAGTTCATTTTATTTAAACTCGTAAATTGAAATTCTACCAAGGAAGGAGGTACTGGGAACTAGTTTAGCCTTCGCACTAATTTTAGGTAAGTTCTTTGTGGAGTTTTACCAAAGAAAATGCTCAAATAAAATTACTTCGCACTGAAATCCCACCTCGTTGTCGTATAGTCAGAAGAGACACGTTTCAAATGTTGGTACACCACATGGTGAGTCAGTATGAACTGTTAGTATGACTCTTAGGGCGAAGGATATTCCATTGAATGAATTTCCTTGTGCTTTAAAAACCGAACAAAAGATAAATCACAAAACAAACATAAGTAAATCAGAAGACGTGTTATCATTGACACATTTGGAGCGAAAGAGACTGGTGCCGTCTTGAATGCTTCTTGTTTGCACAACATATTCTATTCGTGATTATAGGTTTAATTACTTGGTAACTGCTCAAGAATTTGGCGTGAGATTTTGTCAGACCAGTCACACAGCAAATCAAAATAGAAAAATACCGTTCCAGATTACTCTCGACACTCGAATGAAAAATTCTCCACTGAGCTAGAATCCGTTGGAAATTAAGTGCATTGAACCGCTTTCAGGGTGTTGTTTCACTCGCTTATTCGCTTATCCGCTTATTCAATTGAACCGAGACCAATACCCCATTCACACCAAGGCTTAAACATGTTTTAAAGCTGTTTTGTTAAGCAGGATCGAAAATTTTTTTTCATAGAAGCTGCTTAAACCGATGTTTGTCGACCTCAATTGTTGCACATCGATTACTTGAATCCTAAGGAAAATTTAGTTTTTCAGTTTTCTGTTTATGATGGTGTGAATGAGGAACAAGAGAGTCACGAATAAAAAGTATTCCTCTTTTATGTTTTTAATTTCGAGGAAATCGAAACAGGTTACACACACACACAAGCAACAGCAAGGAAGACATAGGGGGAAATGGACGAAAAGAGCTAGGAATTGTAATGACAGATATTTTACTATACTTCCTGAACTAGCTTTGCAATGGGAAACTTTTCCTCGCCAGTAGATATAATACATGATGAAGGAAAACAAACATTATAAAGCGAATAAAATTGTTTTAATTGAAACCCTAGGGTGCAAAGGAAGATGATCGAATAAGATTCCCCGCTTCACCAGTGCAGGTGCTCCTGTAGCGAGGTATTTTATGAGCTCATACTTGTTAAGCAATGGAAGAACACCTGTTCCAGATCAATGAAATACATATTTCTATTTCGATTAAAACATCAGACCAATTCGTCCAGTTGCAGATATATGTAGGTTATATATTATCAACTACGATTAAGTGGGCTATCGCTTTCGTTTTGGAAATCTAGCCAGCAGAGGGTGGCGTTGTTGCGAAGGGTAACTGCAGAGGACAAACATAAGAATAAACTGGAAAAAAAGCCTATTTTGGTCACTACAGTAACGTTTAATTTAATTAGACACTCCTCGTCTTCAAATGAAAAATGAAACAATTCACGAAAGTTTCCAAACAAATTTATGATGTCTGGTGAGGTAGATGTCTTCTTCACGAAGAAAACGAAGTCGTTAGAAAACAAAATTATTCTCTGATAGCTTTAGCTTAGTAATAGATAGTCTCGGGTTTCGAGTACTTTCTGCAAGTATCAACATTATAAATAATTTAGGAGGTTACTTGCCTCATTGGAAGTAAAGGAAATTACCTAACAAATAGAACCTGCAAAGACAGTTTACCTACATACAGTGTCTACACCGATAAAGACTCAATACCTTTCAGGGGGTTGCCGTTGAAATAAACCCGAGGTCTATTGCTAACGATTTCTGAACTGGCGTTTATGCCGGCGAGAGGTTAAAGGTATGTAGATGCAAAACTTTCTGGCTTTTCAATGAGAATGCGAGTAGTATTCTAGTTTTTTTTTTTAATTAAAACCGATTGGGCCGAAATTTAGAAAGGAGGAAAAAAATGGGTTTTTTGTTCTGTTTGCCTGATAACTAGAACTGCTCTTTGTCAACCAAATATGAAATGGCTGCACTTTAGCTACGCTTCGAGTTGGCTAAAAACGCTATGAAGAACTGAAATCACTTATCTGTCTTCTTAGAAAGCATGGAAAATGTTGGCAGAAAAATTCATCTCAAATAGCTTCGGATTAACGATAAGTCTCATAATTCTGTTGTACTTGATGATCTAAACCTAAGATGAATCTCCCTTAGTTTAGCAGGATTTTTAGAATGTGCATGAGCGTCGTCCTTTATACAAAAGGGTGAATCACTTGTTTTTGGCCAGACTTATTTTTACTTCAGTAAAAGGTGACATAGACTAGAGGGGTTTCAACTTGCTATTCAAGCCTGTTCTCCTCGATTGTTTTGGCTAGATCTCGTCATAAAAGACCAAAAACACTCCGGTAGTGTTCGACTAGAAATCTTTTAGATTCCCTTCATGTGTTTGTTGCTAAAATAAACTGAAAAGAAAAATTAATCCGAACACCTCAAGCTAACCACAAAAAAATTATAACAAGATTCCCTCTCCTTTTACCGAGAAAGAGAGTAAAGATATATCTGACAATAGTGACCAATACTTTTCTAATCTATGGGTGACAAAGAGTTCGTTCTTTGTTTGGGTTGATGCTAAAGGTATTCAAATGTAAAAGGCATAATCACTTCTTGATTGATATTTGCTTCTCTGAGTGGAGGGACCTTTGAAATATTTGTGGAGTCCTGTTCTCGATTTGAAAAAAATAAAACAGTGGTTGATAGCGTCTTTCTTTATGTATAATTTATTAATGTTTTTGACGACTGCATTAACTTGAAAAATATAATAGTGACAGCTAAACCTTTACAATAGCCATCAATTATTCTCATATAACAAACTGCGTTTTTAAACGACGCACAGTGTTTTAATTTAGCTTAATTGATATTAAGCAACTCTTCATACAGTCAGGTCGTTTACAACGAACAAGAACGTGCGTAAGACTGACGAGAGCAGCTGTCTCTTTCTCTCGTATGCGTGCTACCTTTCGCTGTTGTGTGTGTTTCTTAGCAGTTATGAGCGTTACTCTTCGCTCTTGTGCGTGTGACTTTTTGAGCTTGTGTACGTGATCTTTCACATATTTGAGCACGACTTTTTCTGGCACACGCGTGCATGACTTTTCACTCTTGTGTGGGCGACTTTGTGCTCTTGTGTGCGTGACTCTTCGCTCTCTAATAAGTGACTTTTCGAGCTTAAGTGCGTGACCTTTCACATGTTTGTCCGCGACTTTTTCTGGCGCGTGCGCAAGCTTTCGCTTATGCTTGTCGGACTGATTTATCCCTGCTACGAGTTTAACAGAGAAATATTCAATTTAAGCACACAGATAACATGCCGTGGACATATCTTCTTTTACATTTTTTGACTTCTTTCACCTCCTTTGTGATGGCTGGTGCTCAATGCAAGACAGAAGTCAGTATTCCTGGTATGGCTCTTAATGGTTTCGTCTTCAAAGTAATATCCGTAACAGCCCCACGTCAATGTGATGTCCGTTGCGAAAGAGAAATCAAATGTCAAAGTTTTAACTACGTCATAGGGGAGAAAGTCTGCGAATTGAATAACCGCACCAAGGAGGCGAGGCCCCTAAATTTCCGCGCTGACCCTACACGGTTTTATATGCGACGTTTTGTCGGCAGAGGTATGTGATCAGCTTAATTAAGCTGTTGGTTGAAAATCATTGGGTGCCTTGATCTTTCCCCGATCAGTACCGCAGTATCGTAGATCGGTAAAAAAGACGCTAAAAAGGAGATCGGACTTTTCTTTGCCAAAAACTTGACGCTGAGCAAACCACAGCAACGAAATTTCTTCTCAAAGATACCCCTTAATCTTTCAGTTCCCTTGGGTTCCATACCTGAATTACCAGCGATATCTTGCCGGGAAATAGAGACGAGTGAAGGCAAATACGACATCAGCAACAAGTACTGGATGCATAGCAGTTTCACGGGACAGGCAGAGCTGGTTGATTGTAGTGACACAGTGAAAGGTGAGTTTTAGGTTCTTCTGTCCTTGTATTACACTCTACTGTTTTTACTTCATACTTCAACTATTCATTTAACATTCAAGGCTAAGAGAAAATTAATGGACCACCAGCGAGCCTTTGCTTTCTCTTGATTGTAAAGACGCCTTTCTTCTATTCCATAATGCTCCATAACTCTTATTGTTTGGTTTGTGACGTCACAGTGACAATTCATGATGATGTTCATAGCGAGGGTGATGACGAAAAGAAAACAATGGCGAAAATGGCGATCAGAAAACAAACGAAAAAACAAAAATATAATACACAATGATCACAATTATTTATCAATTTATCAATTTATCAAATTCCATGATGCTTAATAGTAATTCATGAAACGATTTAACAACAAATACGCCAATTCACAAAGAGCATTTATAACGATAGCCAGTAATATTACTTTCAAATGTCAGTGAGCTGAAAACTTCTGTGGCAAGAGATGTACGCAGACCGTGACACATAAATATAAAAACTTGCTCTTAAAGGCGCGGCCAAACGCACGCAACATTTCAACATCTTGCAATATTGTTGGATGGCGTTGTAAGATGTTATAAAGGAGCTGGCCAAATGTGTGCAACGTCTTGCAACATTTTCAAACTAGATCCAACATCTTGCAACATGTTGCTACAGGGTGACCAAACGTGTGCAACACGGTGCGTGCAACAATGTTGCAAGATGTTGCGTGCTTTTGGCTGGGCCTTAACATCATTTGCCTCCAAACGCTCAATATTGTAACCCTGGCAGCTTATTTCACATTAGAGATCACCCCTTATTCAAACTCTGAGGGCATGAGAATAAAGCAACTGATCGACAACTTGAAAAGTTCTTGATCATTCAAATAATTCTCTCTTGTCTATTGTATGTGCATACTAATGATAGGGTGTAAAGGGTTTATGGCTCCCACGATATTTCACGATATTAGGAGGGGATGCGGCCAGAAGTGATGACGATCACTCTGACGATGACGAAAAAGAAAAAGATATCAATCGGATTGATTTATCAAGTTACATCTTGCTTTACATCGATTCACTGCAAAATTAATCTGTAGAAGTTTTCACCACTTTCAATACACTTTTTTTTTATCCATTAGATTGCGACGCTAATCCTTGTAAAAACGGTGGAACGTGTATAGAAGTACCCAGTACAAAAACTTACAAATGCAACTGTGCGGATGCATTCACAAGCAAAAACCGTTCAGAATCAACAGTCGTCGAGGGGGAACAAACAAAACCTACTAAGGAATACCAATAGACCAATTTACGATTTATTTTACTAAAATGTCGATAAATCTCAGCCAAATTAAATCTTAAAAACGATTGCTGAAAACAAGCGAAGTAGCAAAGAGTGTGGCCTTCTCTAACAGTTGTACTTGTTTTCCATTTCGTAGCAACTGTTGCAAGTCTTGATAGAAGCAATGAACAACCTGAAAATGGAAATGACTATGACTTTGAGCTTATATTCAGAAAAACTCAACATACGAGCTATGTGAAACACAATATGAACAAAAAGTGGGTTGATCACTTTACAGTCTGTGCCTGGATACACACACCAGATTTACAACAGAGCCAAGAGATGACTGTGATAAGTATTTTGAACGAGAATGGTGGCAACCAAAACGTTGTGAGATTGAGAATCGACGGAGAAGGCAACATTTATTTTTCATTTAGAGGTGACAGGTAAGGAGTTTTTGTAATCCACAATTATCAGAGAAGAATCATTCACCCTGTCATTATCAATTTATATAGGCGTTTTTTTTTCGTTTAAATAGAACAGACTTTTCCTGTCGATTCTTTTAGCTAGGAATTTTTTGCTTCAAAGGCTGATTTTAAGACAAGTATATCAACAGTCAAGCGTCCTTTCGTAACAAAATAAAAAAATTAAATGTTTATGTTTAAGTTAAGTAGTACGTGTTTAAAACGAAAAAAAATATTGTTAGCTTTGATAAGATTGTTGAAATGTTAGTTAATAATTACTCACTGATACTGACGTAAATAACTGTTTTAGTATTTACCACACAGAAACCAAAAATATTAGCTAATTTCTGTCAATAAACCAAAAAATGATCGGAAATTAAATTGTTGACGCGCGATTTTGTCTCTTTGGCTGCTTGGAGGTGAATATTACTTGCTGATCAGCGCGCGCGAAAGGCACTACTGGCCTGTGTGCTATATACTAAAATGAAAAGAGCTACATAAATTCAGTTATATTCAATACTATAGGGGATAAAGAGATTACCTTTTAGTAGATACTTGCGTTTTTTTCCTGAAGGACCTTCCTTTCCAACGTATTCGCTACCAGTTCTCCGAAGAATGAAATGGTCTTCCTTTGTGTTCGTATCCAACCTAACCAGTCTCCTAAAATAGAAGCGATCGTAAATGCAGATTTCGGTTCAAAAAAAACTAGCAACGAAGTTAATTACAAAAGCCGTCAGTGGACTCAAGTAATCATCGGACAAAATCAAAACAGAGACGGAACTATTACAAACGACACCCTATTCTATGGAAGGATTTCGAACTTAAACATCTGGTTTAATCTCCCTGATCACGATATTACAAATTGGTTCAACGGAGGTCGGAAAAATACCGAACCTAGCATCCTTAAATGGCCACAACTTGGTTCTTCCGAGAGATTTGGAGACGTTCATTTTGTAAAGGTCACTTCTGCTGAGAGACGTAAGTTTAATGGACTTGATACCCTGCCTTATTATCTAACTGCACTAAGTAGATTGCGAATAACGCGCGAATCGAGTACAAATATCCTGCGATATTGTACAGTTGTTTATTTTGTATAGAAAAACCTGTTTAATCGGTCTACTGCGCGCGCTCCGCTTCTCTATCTGCCTCGCTTTTCCTACTCTTAAAGAAATGCGCATGAAATAAAGCAGTTGGATCATAAATATCTTATCAGATTAGACTCATTGTTTGTAGTTTGACACGCTCTCCGAGCTCGTCAAGATACGGCACAACTCATAAATATACTCAGTGATACTATATACCAAAATGTTTAATATGATATATTTATAGTGCTTAATGCAAAGTTAAATTTATCTAGAAAAAGTGGGTGGGAAGAAATGGAGAGTAGGAAAGTGCTCAAGGACACCCGACTTTGTGTCGTTAACCAATAACCCGAGGACAAGCTATATTTGAAGCACAAAGCAAAGGAAACTGCTCATCAGCCATTAGAGAGGATTTAGAGGTCTGTCAAGGCTTGAAGGAGAGGGGAGGGTTTTGGAGCCCTCTGACGCTCCCCAATAGATTCGCCCACGTCAACACTTTAACGGAGGCTACTAACCTAGTAAAAACTGTGTTTTTAATTATTACACTAAGTCGAACTGTCGGGTGTATACGTTAGTTATGGTAAATGATTCTTTATTTTTTTGTTTAGAGTGGCGTGACGTTTCAGATGGTGAGGTAAATGTACTAACAACAAATGATGTTTCGGCGAAGAAATCTTTTGAAAGTGGATCTGGAGTAGTTATCGAAGTTGAGCGTCAGTCACCAGTCTCTTGTAGCAATGCAATTGATTCGGTCACAGTTGACGGCGTGTTGATATCTGTAAATGGAAGCTGGAAACGAATCAAATATAAGCAGACGTTCATGGGAACTCAGAAATGCTTTGCAATTTTTGGGAGCGTTCCTAACTGGTGAGATACTTACTTCATCTCTCATATTTCTCTTGTAAGCATCGTCCATCTGGAAAGTCGCGGAAAGGGGAGGGTGGGGATGGTATTCATTAATTCTAAACCTTGAGAAAGACATTGAAAGGTCAGTGCGCCAACTTTCTTTCTATCTAAGGAACTCGCTGTGCATGGAATTGTTTGGCGAATTCAATTTTCCATTCCCCAACCCCTCCTCGAACTATTTTTTCTTATATTGAGTGAGGAAACATCTGTGTATTTCACGAACTTCCGAATTTCCGTTTTGGAAAATCACTGGGTTTTCTGGCTGTCAACGTCGTTTATTTGGAACGGCTTCAACTCACGTGTTTTAAAGCCCTGAGAAAAAGCAATTACAACATTATCTGGAGAAAAACAAAAAAATAACGTGCCATAGAGGACTCAGTTGACGTTTTGGTGTCAAACGCGGGAAAACAAGGGCATATCAGGCTGTATCGTTACTTAAACAAAGCAGTGACTTTTTTATTTTAGCCAAAGAAACTTTTTGCCCAAGTAACAATCCTTGGTTAATTCTTTCATCACTACAGGGCCTCCGGTATATACACTCCCGGTGTTTTGGAATTCGACCTTGATTTGGATGAACTTTGGAAAGAAGAATATCTTGGCCCAAAGGGTAATAAACGTATCTAAAAAACCTTATAAGGGATTTAAAGTAAACTGGTAACGTCACTCAAGGTGGTGTGCCTTATAGGCCTAAAATAATTTGCTATAGTAAGTTTCTTCCTTCAATTGTCAGATTTAAATCATGAAACTGTTCAAAAGAGACAATGGAACGTCACCGAGTGATATATAATATGAAACTATTTAAAGCCCTCTCTCCTCCCCTCTTTAAGGAAAGGAATGCACGAGATTTATGGCATTGATAAATTTATGAATTTTTGGGATAGTTTGCATTTGACGAATGCTTCACTTTAGTAATATCATTTGACTACTCTTGTGTCAGCTCCTCACTCAACATCTCCTTGGATCCAAAGTCTCATCGTTACATCAATTTGTTTTGGGCAAAAATAGATCATCGTGGTGTGATCTGTAAGACTGTGCTAATAAACACAGGAAAAACATCTGTGTAGAGTTCAGCTATTGATGATAACAGTAAGCATTCTGCTGATCAAAGACTGTAGTACTACATTAGATTTGTCTCCCTGTTCTTTTCAAGGTACTGATCATTTCGATGGTGTGAATACTTTGTGCGGTGATGAACACTTTTGGATGGTAAATCAATCAAATACTCCGGTAGCCGGAGTCAGTCTGAGACGAGAGAGCGGCGCGTCGAATGCTGGGATATCCACGTTTGGCAAGTGTGGGATGTTCAAGTTCAAGATTTCTGATATTCTTGTTCTGGAATAAAATTCTGTATCGAGTCCTGGCTAATCCAAGTTGTCATTGGCGACACAAGTTGCAGTCCTCTACCCAGCTAATGATTGTGATGTGATGACAGAAATGTCACGTGGCATCCCAAACAAAGGCTTCGAAGGAGAATAAACACGTTGTTGCCTGTGGCGCCCGTGACTGGCTAGGACTTGAGCCTGCAATTAATTGAGTAGTTTGTGCAGTTAAATCACCTTTTAAGCACAACAGCACTATAATAGTAAATTGCGCTAGAAGCAGAGCTGGATATTACTTTACGTTGAAATAATAAGAGTGTTCGCTATTTTATAGACATTGATAGACATTGATACTTGACTTTAGAGGCGAAAAAGTGAATATATGAATACATTGCTGGGTGTTCTGTAATATTTTGAACAAGGCTTATGGTATGTAGCGTTAAAAGTGTTAAGTTCATTCATTCCAAAAAATTTTGTTTACACTCGTGTTGAAATTCTACCAAGGAAGGAGGGACTGGGCACTAGTTTAGCCTTCGCACTTATTTTAGGTAAGTTCTCTGTGGATTTTTACCAAAGAAAATGCTCGAATAAAATTACTTCGCACTGAAAACTCACTTCGTTGTCGTGTACTTAGAAAAGACACGTTTCAAATGTTGGTACACCACCTGGTGAGTAAGTATGAACTCCTTGGGCGCAGGGTATTGCAATAAATGTAGTTACTTATGCGTTAAAAACCAAACAAAAGACGAATCAGAAAAAAACCTGAGTAAATCAGAAGACGTGTTATCATTCACAAGTTTAGATCAGAAGGGACTGGTGCCAGGTTTTTGAACATATCACTCGAGGTGCAAGTACTGGGTATATCCAATTCGTGATTATAGGGTTTAATTCCTTGGTAACTGCTTTAGAATGTGGCGTGAGATTTCGCCAGACCCGTTACATAGCAAATCAAAATAGAAAAATACCGGATTACAGATTACTTTCGGCACTCAAAAGAAAAATTCTCCTCTGAGCTAGAATCCGCTGGAAATTAAGCGCACTGAACTGTTTTCGGGGTGTTGTTTCGCTCGCTTACTCGCTTATTCAATTGAACCGAGATCAGCAAGAGAGACACGAATAAGAAAATATTCCGTTTTTGTGTTTTTAATTTCGAGAAAAACGAAACAGTTTACACACACACACAGGGAACAGCAAGGAACACAGAGAGAAAAACAGGAACGTAATAACAAATATTTTATTGTTTTTCCTGAGAAAGCTTTGACATGGGAAAAAAAATTTTCTCTCCAGTAGATATAATACATAATAAAGGAAATAAACATTATAAAGCGAATAGAATTGTTTTAATTGAAACCTCTGGTCTCTCAGGGTGCAAAAGAGAATGGTCGAGTGGGATTCCCCGCTTCACTAGTGCAGATGCTCCTGTAACGAGGTATTTTATGAGCTTATACTTGTCACGCAGTGCAAGAACACCTGTCGAGATCATTGAAACAAATATTTTTATTTTGACATAAAAATCAGACCAATTCGTCTTAGGTTATATGCTATCAACTACAATTAAGTTAGTTATCGCTTTCGATTTGGAAAATCTAGCGAGCAGAGAGTGGTGTTGTAGCGAAGGATAACTGCAAAGGACAAACATAAGAATAAATTGGAAAAGAAAGCCTATTTTGGTCACTACAGTAACATTTAATTTGATTAGGCACCCTCCGTTTTCAAATGAAAATGACACAATTCACAAAAGTTTCCAAACAAATTAATGATTTCTGATGTGGAAGATGTCTTCTTCACGGCGAAGAAAACGAAGTGAAAATCTGAGGTCGTTTAGAAAACAAAATTACCCTCTGATAGCTTGGGCTTAGTAACAGATAGCTTCAGGAGTTCGAGTACTTTCAGCAAGTATCATCACTGTAAATAATTTAGCTGGTAATTCACCTCATTGTCAGTAAAGGAAATTACCTAACAAATAGAACCTGCAAAGACACTTTACCTACATACAGTGTCTATACTGAGAAAGATTCAATGCCTTTCAGGGGGTTGCCGTTGAAATAAACCCGATGTCTATTGCTAACGATTTCTGAGCTGGCGTTTATGCGGGAGGTTAACGGTATGTAGATGAAAAACGTTTTGGCTTTTCAATGAGAATGCAAGTAGTATTCTGGGTTTTTCTTAAATTAAAACCGATTGGGCCGAAATTTAGAAAGGAGAAAAAAAATTGGGTTTTTTTGTTCTGCTTACCTGATAACTAGAACTGCCCTTTGTCAACCAAATATAAAATAGCTGCACTTAAGCCACGCGTCGACTTGGCTAACAACGCTATGTAGAACTAAAATCACTTATCTGTCTTCTTAGAAGGCGTGGAAAATGTTAGGAGAAAAATTCATCTCAAATTGCTTCGGATGAACAATAGGTATCATAATTCTGTTGTACTTGATGATCTAAACCTAAGAGGAATCTCCTTTAGTGTAGCAGAATTTTTAGAATAAGCATGACCGTCGTTCCTTATACAAAAAGGTGAATCACTAGTTTTTGGCCAGACATATTTTCACTTCAGTAACAGGTGATACAAACTAGAGGGGTTTTAACTTGCTATTCAAGTCTGTTCTCCTTGATTTTTTTTGGCTAGATCAAGCCAAGAAACACTCCAAAAAGACGGAATTGATTCCCAGTAGCGTTTGACTAGAAATCTTTTAGATTCCCTTCATTTGTTTGTTGCTAAAATAAAATAAAAAGGAAAATTAATCTGAACACCTCAAGCTAACCACAAAAAAATTATTATTTTAATTTTGCCGAGAGAGAGAGGAAAGACACATCTGACAATAGTGACCAATACTTTTCTAATCTATGGGTGGCAAAGAGTTTGTCTTTGTTTGGGTTGATGCTAAAGGTATTCAAATGTAAAAGGCATAATTGAAAGCGAGTACTCCACTTCTTGATTGATATTTACTTCTGTGAGTGGAAAGACCTTTGAAATATCTGTGGAGTCCTGTTCTCGATTTGAAAAAAAGCCAGTGGTTGATAGCGTCTTTCTTTTGATGTATAACTTATTAATGTTTTTGACGACTGCATTGACTTGAAAATATAATAATGACAGCTAAATCTTCACAATAGCTATCAGTTATTCTCATATAACAAAACTGTGTTTTTAACGACGCATAGTGTTTTAATTTAACGTAATTGATATTGAGCAACTCTTCATACAGTCATGTCGTTTACAACAAACAAGAACGTGCGCAAGACTGACTAGAGCAGCTGCCTCTTTCTCTCTTATGCGCGCTACCTATCGCTGTTGTGAGCATGTTTCTTAGCAGTTGTATGCGTGACTCTTCGCTCTTGTGCGTGTGACTTTTTGAGCTTGTGTTCGTGATCTTTCGTATTTTTGAGCACGACTTTTTCTGGCGGACGCGTGCATGACTTTTCACTCTTGTGTGGGCGACTCTGTGCTCTTGTGTGCGTGACTCTTCGCTCTCGTGCGAGTAACTTTTGGAGCTTGTGTGCGTGACCTTTCACATATTTGTGCACGATTTTTTCTGGCGCGTGCGCAAGCTTTCGCTTATGCTTGTCGGACTGATTTATCCCTGCAACGAGTTTAACAGAAAAATATTCAATTTAAGCACACAGATAACATGCCGTGGACATATCTTCTTTTACATTTTTTGGCATCTTTCACCCCCTTTGTGACGGCTGGTGCGCAATGCAAGACAGAATTCAGTATTCCTGGTATGGCTCTCGATGGTTTCGTCTTCAAAATTATATCCGTAACAGCCCCACACCAGTGTGATGTCCGTTGTGAAAGAGAAATCAGATGTCAAAGTTTTAACTACGTCATAGGGGAGAAAATCTGCGAATTGAATAACCGCACCAAGGAGGCGAGGCCCTTAAATTTCCGCGCTGACCCTGCACGGTTTTATATGCGACGTTTTGTCGGCAGAGGTATGTGATCAGCTTAATTAAACTGCTCGTAACAGTTGAAAATCACTGGGTGCTTTGATCTTTCCCCGATCACCGCACCGCAGTATCGTAGATCGGTAAAAAAGACGCAAAAAAAGAGATCGGACTTTTCTAAGCCGAAGACTTATCGCTGAGCAAACCAAAGCAACGAAATTTCTTCTCAAAGATACCCTTTAATTTTTCAGTTCCCTTGGGTTCCATTCCTGAGTTACCAGCGATATCTTGCCGGGAAATAGAGGCAAGTGAAGGCAAATACAACATCAGCAACAAGCACTGGCTGGATAGCAGTTACACGGGACAGGCAGAGTTGGTTGATTGTAGTGACACAGTGAAAGGTGAGTGTTAGGTTCTTCTGTCCTTGTATTACATTCTACTGTTTTTACAATGTTGTGAGATGTTACGTTGGAATGTTGCGTGCGTTTGGCCGGGCCTTAACACCATTTGCCTCTAAACGCTCAATATTGTAACCCTTGGAGTGCCTGGTAGCTTATTTCGCCAGAGATCACCCCTTAATCAAACTTAAAGAGCATGAAAATAAAGCAACTGATCGACAACTTGCGAAGTTCTTGATTATGAAACCAATTCTCTCTTGTCTATTGTATAGAGAAAATTCATACAAAATGACTAAAAACAAACAAATGTCAATTGCAATGATTTATCGAGTTACATCTTGCTTTATATCGATTCATTGTAAAATTCACCTGTAGAAGTTTTCACTGCTTACAATACAATTTCGTCTTATCTATCAGATTGTGACGCTAATCCTTGTAAAAACGGTGGAACGTGTGTAGAAGTACCCAGTACTCAAACCTACAAATGCAACTGTACGGATGCATTCACAGGAATAAACTGTTCAGAATCAGCACCCGTCGCGCAGAGTACGGACGCATCCCGTAAGTACAGTAAACTTCATTTTTTCTCTTCACTTTTTCCACTACAAAGATATCCCAAGAACTCAACCTGTCATTCCTTATAATGCCATTACAATGGTCGAATGCAGTGTATTCCCTACCAAAATAAGAAAAGCCAATAAAATGTCAATAACCTCTTATCAATATTAGCTTGCGGCGAAGTTGTTTCCTGGAAGTCTGGGGCCCAGTGGACTAAAAAATAACGAAAATACAATGTCTGTTTTTCGTTAAAATAGAACAGACTTTTCCTGTCGATCCTTTTAGCTTGGCATTTTTTGCTTCAAAGGCTGATTTTAAGACAAGTATATCAACACTCAATCGTCCTTTCGTAACAAAGTAAAAAAAATTAAATGTTTTTGTTTGAGTTAAGTAGTACGTGTTTAAAGCGAGGAAAAAATATTGTAAGCTTTGATAAGATTGTTGAAATGTTAGTTAATAATTACTCACTGATACTGACGCAAATAACTGTTTTAGTATTTACCACACAGAAAGCAAAAATATTAGCTTATTTCTGTCAATAATCCAAAAAATGGTCGGAAATTAAATTGTTGACGCGCGATTTTGTCTCTTTGGCTGCTTGGAGATGAATGGTACTTGCTGATCAGCGCGCGCGAAAGGCACTACTGGCCTGTGTGCTTTATACTAAAATAAAAAGAGCTACATAAATTCAGTTATATTCAATACTCTAGGGGATAAAGAGATTACCTTTTAGTAGATACTTGCGTTTTTTTTTCTGAAGGACCTCCCTTTCCAACGTATTCGCTACCAGTTCTCTGAAAAATGAAATGGTCTTTTTTTGTGTCCGTATCCAACCTAACCAGTCACCTAAAATGGAAGCGATCGTAAATGCAGATTTCGGTTCAAAAAAGACTAGCGACGGAGTTGGGTACGAATACGTTCAGTGGACTCAAGTAATCATCGGACAAAGTCAGGACAATGACGGAACTATTACAAACGACACCCCATTCTATGGAAGGATTTCGAACTTAAACATATGGTTTAACCCTTTCACTGATGCCCACAACGAAGGTGAGAAATATTACAACCCTAGCATCCTTGCATGGCCAGAACTTGGTTCTTCTTCCAGGATTGGAGACGTTCATTTTGTAAAGGTCACTTCTGCTGAGAGACGTAAGTTTAATGGACTTGACACTCTGCCTTATTATCCAACTGCACTGGGTAAAGTACGAATGACGCACGAATCGAGTACAAATATCCTGCGATATTGTACAATTGGTTAAACCTGTTTAATCGGTCGGCTGAGCGTGCAACGCTTCTCTATCTGCCTCGCTTTTCCTACTCTTAAAGAAATGCGCTTGAAATTAACAAATATAAATATCTTATTAGAGTAGACTCATTGTTTGTAGTTTGACTCACCCTCCGAGCTCGTCAAAATACGGCACAACTCGTAAAAATACTCAGAGATACTACACACCAAAATGTCTAATATGATATATTTGTTGTACTAAATGCAAAGTTACATTTATCTAGAAAAAGTGGGTGGGAAGGGATGGAGGGTTGGAAAGTGCTCAAGGACACCCGACGTTCTGTTGTTTACCAATAACCCAAGGGCAAGCTATATTTGAAGCACAAAGTAAAGGAAACTGCTCATCGCTAATCATTAGAAAGGGTTTGGTGGTCTGACAAGACTTAAAGGAGAGGGGAGGGTTTTGGAGCCCCCTGACCCCCCCTCTCCCCCAGATTTCCCCTTGTCAACACTTAAATGATGGCTTTAGCTTCACAAAAACTGTTTTAACTATTAAACTAAGTAGAGCTATCGGGTGCATACCTTAATTATAGTGGGTGAATTTACATTTTCTATTTAGATTGGCGTGAAGTTTCAGTTGGTGAGGTGGTTGTAGAAAATACCGTTAATGTTGTTGCAAATAAAACTGTTGAAAACGGATCTGGAGTTGTTATCGAAATTGAGCGTCAGTCACCACCAGTCTCTTGTAATAATACAATCGGTTCGGTCACAGTTGACGGCGTGCTGATATCTGTACCTGGGAGCTGGAGAAGAATCAAATACAAGCAGACGTTCATGGAAACTCAGAAATGTTTTGCAATTTTTGGGAGCGTTCCTAACTGGTGAGATATTTACTTAATCTCTCACATTTCTCTTGTAAGTATTATCCATCTGGAAAGTCGCGGGAAGGGGAGGGTGGGGATACTTAGGATTTATCAATTCTAAACCTTGAAAAAGACTTTGAAAAGTCAGTGCGCCAACTTTCTTTCTATCTAAGGAACTCGCTGTGCATGGAATTGTTTCGCGAATTCAAATTTCCATTCCCCAACCCCTCCTTAAATTATTGTTTCTTCTATTGTGTAAGGAAACATCTGTGTATTTCATGAACTTGCGAACTGCAGTTTTGGAAAAGCACTCGGTTTTCTGTCTGTCAACCTCGTTTATTTCCAACGGCTTCAATTAGGGGTTTTAAAGCCCTAAGTTAAAGCAATTATGACATCATCTGGAAAAAAGCAAAAATAACGCGCCATAGAGGACTCGATTTACCTTTTTTGGCGTCAAGTGCAGGAAAACAAGTGTTTCAAAACTTGTATCAAACTGTATCGTTACTTAAACAAAGCAGCGACTTTTTTGATTTCGGCCAAAGGAAATATTTGCCCAAGTAACAATCCTTGGTTAATTCTTTCATCACTACAGGGCCTCCGGTATATACACTCCCGGTGTTTTGGAATTTGACTTTGATTTGGATGAACTTTGGAAAGAAGAATATCTTGGCCCAAATGGTAATAAACGCATCTAAAAAACCTTGTGCGGGATTTAAAGTTAACTGGTAACGTCATTTAAGGAAGTGTGCCTCATGGGCCTGAAAAAATTTGCTTTAGTGAGTTTTTTCTTTGGTTCTCAGATTTAAATTATGAAAGTGTTCAAAAGTGACGATGGAACTTCGCCGTGTGATATCTAATATGAAACTATTTAAAGCCCTCCCTCCTCACCTCTATAAGGAAAGGAATACAGCAGAGCTAAGGCACTGAAAAACCTATCAATAACAGGGCTAGTTTGCATTTGGTGAATGCTTTACTTGTAGTTATATTATTTGACGACTCTTGTGTCTGCACCTCACTCGACGTTTCCTTTGCACCAAAGTCTCACCGTTGCATCAATTTGTTTTGGACAAAAATAGATCATCGTGGTGTGATCTGTAAGACTGTGCTAATATACACAGGAAAAACTTCTGAGTAGAGTTCAGCTATTGATGATAACAATAAGCATGCTGGTGATTAAACACTGTAGTACTACATTAGATTTGTCTCCCTGTTATTTTCAAGGTAATCATTTCGATGGCGTGAATGCTTTGTGCGGTGATGAACACTTTTGGATGGTAAATAAACCAAATACTCCGGTAGCCGGAGTCAGTCTGAGACGAAAGAGCGGCGGGGCGATTGCCGGGATATCCACCTTTGGCAAGTGTGGGATGTTCAAGTTCAAGATTTCTGATATTTGTGTTCTGGACTAAAAATTCTGTATCGAGTCCTGGCTAATCCAAGTTGTTATTGGCGACACAAGTTGCGGTCCTCTTCCAGCTCATGCTTGTGATGTCATGACAGAATGTCACGTGGCACCCCAAACAAAGGCTTCGAAGGAGAATAAACACGTAATTGCCTTTAGCGCCTTTGACTGGCTAGGACTTGAGCCTGCGATTAATTAATAAGTTTGTGCAATAAATCACCTTTTAAGCACTACAGCACCATGACAGTAAACTGCATTAGAAGCAGAGCTGGATATTACTTTACGTTGAAATAATTAGAGTGTTCGCTAGAAGTAATCATGTTCTCACTTGACTTTAGAGGCGAAAAGGGGAATATATGAATACGTTGCTGGGTGTTCTACTACCGTTGTAATATTTTGAACAAGGTTTATGGTATGTAATGTTAAAAGTTTTTAGTTCATTCATTCCAAAAAATTTTGTTTAAGCGCGTGTTTAAATTATACTGGGGAAGGAGGTACTGGGAACTAGTTTAGCCTTCGCACTTATTATAGGTAACTTGTCTGTGGATTTTTACCAAAGAAAATGCTGAAATAAAATTACTTCGCACTGAAAACCCACTTAGTTGTCGTATGATCAGAAAAGACGCGTTTCAAATGCTGGTACACCACATGGTGAGTCAGTATGAACTGTTGGTATGACTCTTGGGGCGCAGGGTATTCCAATAAATGAAGTTACTTATGCGTTAAAGCAAACAGAAGATGATCAGAAAACAAACATGAGTGAATCAGAAGACTTGTTATCATTGGCACATTTGGAACGAAAGAGACTGGTGCCAGGTTTTTTAATATATCACTCGAAGTACAAGTACTGGGTGCCAACGCCATCTTTAATGTTGCTTGTTTCCACAATATATTCTATTCGTGATTATAGTTTTAATTCCTTGGTAACTGTTTGAGAATTTGGTGTGAGATTTTGCCAGACCAGTCACATAGAAAATCAAAATAGAAAAATACCGGATTACAGATTACTCTCGTCACTCAAAAGAAAAATTCTCCACTGAGTTAGAATCCGCGGGAAACTAAGCGCCTTGAACCGCTTCGGGGTGTTATTTCGCTTGCTTATTCGCTTATCCGCTGATTTAATTGAACCGAGACCAATACAAGGTTTAAACATGTTTTGAAGCTGCTTTGTTAAACAAGATCGAAAATTGTTTTCTACATAGAAGCTACTTAAACCGATGTTTGTCGACTTCAGTTGTTGCACATAAAAAAAATTAAGTTAGCGAGTACTTTAATCCTATGGAAAATAGAGCTCTTTAGTTCTCTGTTTATGATTTTCATTTAGTAAAACCCGGTTTAACCAAGCATAGTTTGCTGGTGTGAATGAAATACAAGAGAGTCACGAGTAGGGAAATATTCCTTCTTTATGTTTTTCGAGGAAAACGAAACAGTTTACACACATACACAGGGAACAGCAAGGAACACAAAGGGGAGAAAATGGACGAAAATGACAAATATTTCATTCTTCTTCCTGAGCTAGCTTTGCGATGGAAAAATTTTCCTCGCCAGTAGACATAATATATAACAAATTTACATTATAAAGCGAATGAAGTTGTTTTAATTGAAACCTCTGGACTCTCAGGGTGCAAGAGTGGATGGTCGAATGGGATTCCCCGCTTCACCGGCCTTGGTGCTCTTGTAGCGAGGTATTTTATGAGGTCGCCCTTGTTACACAATGCAAGAACACCTGTTCGAGATCAATGAAATATATATTTTTATTTCGATTAAAACATGAGACCAATTCGTCCAGTTGCAGATATATAAAGGTTATATGTTATCAACTATAAGCAAATGAAAATAGAAAATTACCATTCCAGATTACTCTCGACATTCAAATGAAAATTTTTCCACTGAGCTAGAATCCGCTGGAAATTAAGCGCATTGAGCCGCTTTCGGGGGGTTTTTTCGCTCGCTTATTCGATTATTCGATTGAAATGAGACCGAGAGAGTCACGGATAAGAAAATATTCCTTTTTTATGTTTTTCGAGGAAAACGAAACAGTTTATACGCAACGTTCAATTTTGTTTATTTGAGTTTCTTCAGTGGCTATCACACGCACAAGGAACAGCAAAGAACACATAGGGGAAAGAATGGACGAAAAGAGATCTTAATTGATATTTTATTGTTCTTCTTGAGCTGGCTTTGCAATAGGAGATTTTCCTCGCCGGTAGAATTATTTGATGATAAAGGAAATAAACACAATAAAGCAAAAATTGCGTTTTAATTGAAACCTCAGGGGACCTTTAGGGTGCCTCACCAGTCTAGGTGCTCTTGTAGCGAGGTATTTTATCAGGGCGTCCTTGTCATGTAATGTAAGAACACCTGTTCGGCATTAAGGGAACAATGAAATATGTAACTAATTCGATTAAAAACATCAGAGTAATTCGTTCAGTTTTAGATAAATAAAGGTGATATTTTACCGATTACTTTGTAGTAAGATATTGCTTTCGATTTGGGAAATCTATAGCCTGCAAATAGAGCCGCTGCAGTTAAGGGTAACTGTGAAGGACAACATTCGTAATAATTTGAAAGATAGAGCTTTTTGTTCGCCACAGCAAGTTTTAATTTCATTAGGCACTCTCTGTCTTCACATGAAAATCAAAAGATTCTCGGAAATTTTAAAACAATCAACGAGGTGGGATGTTGAAAATGTTATTCTGCGGAGTGAAGCTTGTTTAGAAAACAGAAGTACTCTCTGATAACTTGGGGGGTTATACGAGGGTTTCGAGTGCTTTCTGCAAGTCTCAACAACATGAATACTTTAGGAGCAACTTCGCCTCATTGGTTACACAGGAAATTACCTCATAAATATACTTCTGATTTCCTAGCAGAACCTGTAGGGAATGTTTATCTAAAATTAGTGTTTACTTTTAAAAACCTGCCTTCTCTTGTTAGTAATTTCTAGACTGGTATTTATGCAGGAGATCAAAGGTACGGAAATGAAAAACTCTCCGGCTATTCAAAGAAATGAGAATGCAGTTAATATTCTAGTGGTTAAAAAAAAGGAAATAAATACCAAAAGCCGACTGGGGTGAAATGTAAACAAGAGAAAAAACAACTTGTTTTTCCATCTGTTTGCTAGGAAGCTATAACTGCAATCAGTCAGCAAAAGATACAACGAAAGCTCCTTAGAAAACTACACGTAGAATTGGCTAAATAGGCTATGAAGGACTGAAAACAGTTTTCTGACATCTTGGAAGGTGAGGAACATTTTGGGTTGCAATTTCACCACAAATTTGTTAAGGATTAACAATATTAATCACAATTCTGTTATGTTTGATAAATTAGACTTAAGAGAAATTTCCTTTATTTCAATAGGATTTTTAGAATGTGGCCGTTGTCCTAAATAGAAAGGGTCGATCAATGTTTTTGGCCAGAAATGTTATTTTTTTCACTGCTATGTAAAAAGATTTTCAACTTCGTTTGCTATCCGAGTCTTTTCTCTTTTAATATTTTACTACCAGATTTCGCCATGAAAGACCAAAAAACACTCCCATACATACACTTAGCATATTACTCGAGATCTTTTCGTTCTTTATCAGTTTGTTGAGCGCTAAATAAACGGGCTCCTTTTTCCTAACTTAGGCCTAGTTTATACGTCGCGCTGCAGTCGAATTTAATTCAGACGAATTTAATTCAAGGTCTCACAAGCAATTAAATTCGACGATAGCGCGACGTCTAAAACGAATTAAATTCGTCTGGTAAATTAAATTCGTCCTAGACGTTTTATCCGTCTTGGTAAGACGGATAAAATATCGATAAAGCATCTTCAGTTTTAACGTCGCGCTAACTTCACGTCGAATGAAATGCATACATTTTCTTAATGTATTTCAATTTATTTTGGCGATCCCGCAGCGACCCGTGGCGAGCTTTTCAAGTATTCCGCATGCGCAGAAATTCCTCTTGGGCACTTCGGCGCGAGTTTACGTTGTAGTTCATAGCCATGGCGCTTTGGAGGAAAAGTTTGTCATTTTCTTGCTGTAATTGTGAGAGACAAACGAAGTATTCTTGTATAACGTGTGGTAAAAGTGTATGTGTTCGATCGGAATGTTCGATTCCTGAAGTTAATGAAGAAGCTATCGGCTGGCAACCAAATAAACGTGTTGGGTATTGTCTCAAGTGTGCTCTTTGTACAGAAAAGCTTGTCAAAGATTGTCAGAGCGAAGTGGATGACAAAGACCATGGTCAGAGGGATCTTACAACATGTATTCGCGAAGAAGAAGAAGAAGAAGAAGAAGAAGAAGAAGAAGAAGAAGAAGAAGAAGAAGAAGAGTCAGATTCCATCGAGGAAGGTGAAATGGTGAGTTCTGAATGTGGGAAAAGGAAGAAAAGAATTGGGCGGAGAGCGACTTGGAAAGAAGATCACATCACTGATCTGGTAAATATCATTGTTAATGATGACCCGCTGGTCAAGAAACTGATATTTTGCAATACTAAGAAAGCAAGCAATACTGAAGCTTATGAGATGGTGCGGAAACGGCTGAACGTCGAATACAATAAGACCACCGGGAGTGATTTTCCTTTCCAAGTGCAACAAATGAGAAATAAATTTAAGTCATGCATTAGTACGTGTAAGCAGATCTGCATGACAATGAAAACTGCTTCAGGTATTGAAAGGTTTGTTGAAGAACGGGGATATGGTAAATGGTTTGACCTTCTTTATGTACTTGTTAAAACTAGAGATTCATGTCAACGAGAAAATGCATGTGAACCCTCTGTACATATTGGAAATGTAGACAAGCAAGATACCAGCAAGAATGATCAAGAAGTTGATGGTGATGATGATGACTGTGCAAGCACTTCATCTAGCCTTATGGATAGCAGTGGAGAAGTTCCATCCAAGGGTAAACGTTTCTTGGCAAAGAAACCTGCCTCTAAAAGAGCTAAAACTGAGCAGATGGCGAAAGCTGTTGAACTACTTCAAAGTACTATTGAGAATGATCCCACCAAAGAACTTTTGCAAAATTTAAGGGAAGATATGAAGCAGTCTAGAGAACAGGAAATGAGGTACTTCCAGTTGATGTGTGGCCTACTAACACCCAACAGCAATCCAAACATGCAACCCCATGGTAATTTCCATCCTTATAGCAGTTCTTATTCTGATGATTTTCATCATCAAAGCCATAATTTTGCACAACAATCTGTGTCCAATCCCAGAGCTAGCAGCAGTCACCCAAGTACCCCATCCTTTGGGTACACACCATTGATGTCATCTGCTCCAAAAAATGATGAGCAGTCTCTCCTACATCACGTTCAGTCAACTATGACAGTGTAGATACCCTTTCAGAGTTGTTCCCTCAAAAACATGAAAGGAACAGGATATCATAATGTGTATTACTGAAATGTACATTATGGTTTACAAATCATTCAAATGTTGTGTTTCACTTTGAGTCTTTTCGTTCATTTTTTTATATCCCTTTGTTAATTTGTTTGAAATTATATTACAAAAGTTAGAAAACAAAGGAAAATTATATGGTGAAAGAATCAATACATTTCTTTAACGAAGGAAATAACAACTGAATTACAGTATTGCAATTCTCATCATAACAGTGTTTATCTCATGGTACTGTATGTAATGTCTGAAAAATATACAGTGATGCAACGTAATGTCATATATTAATAGTATTCCTTGATCCAATGACTATCATTGCTTGCTTGAACATGAACTCGAGACCTGTGCATTTCTAACTTGCATTTAAAATGGGTCGCTTAAAGCATTGATGAGAAGTAATGCAACAAACGTATTAGGAATGTCATGACATTCAGTACCTTTGGTCCAATTTGATTCTTTTTTCTGTTATGTGTACTGAAAAGAAATGTAATAGTGAAGTAAGCGAGTTTTTCATATGATGCCGATTTGCAGGGCTTGTACATGTAATGCCTAAGTTGAAATTGAGACAGTTCCACAAAATATTCATTTCTACCCCCGTGGATTAAGAGCGTAGATTTCGCGTTCCGGCGTGAAGGCAAGTAGCAAGTTCTTGAAGTACGCGCTAAAGTTTAAGACGGTTGCCGGAGTTAGCGGGAGTTTGAGGTCTAACAAAAAACTTCACAGGGGCGTTGAATATTTTATGGAACAACACACTGTTGCGTTTATGAAGTTTACCTGAAATGTGAAGTGATTTATTTGTTACAATCCATGGAGAACTTTGAAAATAACATGGATGACAAAAAAGTTGTTTTAATCACGTCTACATTTCCAGTTCGTTTGCTTCTTTTTCCTGCCACATTTTCCTGGTCAGAGCCTCCCTTATTGCTCCAGCTTTGCGAGATGAATCCTTTCTCTTAGGCAGTTGCGCATCTGCAACAGATCTCGTATTTCTTCTCTGGACCTTTTCTTTTGTGTGAAAGGATCAATTGACAAATCCAGTTGGGCAGGAAGGCTGTCCTTTGTGGTAATGCAGATGTTGTGAAGTACAATACACGCGAGCGCGGCCAGTTTCACCGAATCTGGTCTACATTCTAGCTTTCGATACAAAACTCTCCACCTGCTCTTCAGTTGTCCATAGGCTCGCTCAGTTACCATTCTTGCGCGGCTTAGACGATAGTTAAAATAGCCCTCTTCAGGTGTAAGGTTAGCATTACCATATGGTTTCATTAACCACACTCTGAATGGGAAAGCAGAATCGCCCAAAATCATCGGGTAAACCTTGGTACCTTCAATGACTTGAGAAATTGATGGTATGATGTCGTTTTCAGTAATGTTGTGCCACAAATCAGTGGACTGGAAAATGATGGAATCGTGTGAATTTCCTGGAAAACCAACACTTGCCCGGATGAAACGATCCTGTGCATCTACAATGGCCATCAATACTATTGAATAAAAGTTCTTAAAGTTATGATACTCTTTACAGGCTTTCAAACCGCCAGGAGGGCACTGAATGGGGATGTGGCACCCATCTACAGCACCTCAGCAGCAGGGGAATCGCCAAAACGCTGTCATATCCACCATTTTCTCCATAATATTCTGTTTGGTGATTGGAAAATACGCTTGCACCGAAAGTTTCCACAGGTTTCTTATGATCGCTTCACATACTTCCTCTATGATTTTGTGAACGGTCGTCACACCAAGGCCAAACAGTTCCGCAATGGTGTATAGGTAGTCACCTCTACCTAATCTATAAAGACATATAGCCAGCCTACATTCGGCAGAAACGGGCTGCTCTGTGACAAAATCTTTCTCAATATCAGGTCGAAGACTCTTCAAAATTAAGTTAAACGTATTCCTTGATACACGAAAGGTTTTCTTAAATCTTCCTTCATCATAGGACGCCCAGACCAATTCCCACCAACCCGTGTTTTTATGACTGTGACGACAACTGCGAGGTCTTCGAACGCTAATTTCATCTTCACTTGACTGTAACAGGAGACACGTCAGCAAACAAAGTCGTACGATAAACCTTTTCCTCATTAACACCGATGTAACCATATTACGCCGTAGTTGACGTCGCCGTTGTTTTTCCCTGGAAATTTTCTGGAGCAAAATTGTTTTCAGAGCTTTAGCCCGCGCCATGTTTGTTTCCAAATGACACCTCTGACCAGAGACACTGCATTTGGGAAGAGAATTAAATTCGACCGTATTGATTTCGACGCATAAAACCACGCCACGATTTATGTCGACGGAACGACGAATTTAATGGAATTAAATTCGTCTGAATTAAATTCGACTGTAGCGCGACGCATAAACTAGGCCTTAGTCTTTTTTCCCGCCCAGAATTGACCCGCGAACTGATCTTACACAAATTTCAATTATTTTCCTTCCACTTTCGTCGAAAAAAGAGAAGGAGAATTTATCAGACAATGGTGACCAATTTACTTGAAATCTATCGATTGTATACAGGTCAACATAAGGCTAATGCTAGTGCTATCGAAACTTAAAACGCGTCAATGAAAGCAAGTACTCTACTTCTTGGTTTATATTTACTTGTGTGATCGAAAGGAATTGAATAATACTCTCGCAGCATTATTCTTGATTGAAAAGAAACCAGAATATTCTTGATGAATATCTGACGGTGCGAAAGAACAGCTGTCCTTTTAATCTCTTTCTCTCTCGTGAACGCATGACTTTCGCTCGTGTGCGCGAGACCTTCTGCTCGTGTGCGCGGTATCTTTCGCTCGAGTGCACGTGACTTTCTGCTCGTGTACGTATGACTGTTTGATCGTATACGCGTGACTTTTCATTCGTGCTCGCATGACTTTTAGCTCGCGCACGTGTGACTTTTCGCTCGTGCGTGCATAGGTTTTTGCTCGCGTGCACGATACTTTCCTCTGGTTCTGCAACTAATTTATTCCCAATATGAGCTTAACTGAGATACGTTTAATTTCAAAACACAGGTAACATGACTTGGACATATTGTATTTTACATCTTTTGGCATCTTTTAACACCCTCGTTATGGCTGGTGCTCAATGCCGGACAGAAATCAGTATAACTGGTATGGCTCTTGATGGTTTTGTCTTCAAAAGAATGCCAGCAACAGCTCCACATGAGTGTGAAGTCCATTGCGAAAGAGAAATCACATGTCAAAGCTATAACTATGTTGTAGGGGAGAGAATTTGCGAATTGAATAACCGTACCAAGGAGGCGAGGCCCCTAAATTTTCGCTCAGACCCTGCACGGTTTTATAAGCGACGTTCTGTGGACAGAGGTATGTGATCAGTTTAAGTGGCTTCTGACAGTTTATATACTTCAGTGTCTTGATGAATCACCCACCAATACAAACGCCCTTCTTATTATGATGATAAAGATGTAACCAAAAATATAGTTAGACCTTTTTGAGCCGGCGAGATGACATGGAGCGAACCACAGAAACGAAATTTGTTCTAAAAGATAACCCTTAACTTTTCAGTTCCCTTGGGTTCCATTCCTGGATTACCAGCGATATCTTGCCGGGAAATAGAGGCGAGTGAAGGCAAATACAACATCAGCAACAGGCACTGGCTGGATAGCAGTTTCACGGGACAGGCAGAGTTGGTTGATTGTAATGACACAGTGAAAGGTGAGTTTTAGGTTCTTCTGCCCTTGTATTGCACTCTACTGTTTTTACTTCATACTTCAACTATTCATTTGACACTCAGGGCTAAGAGAAAATTAATGGACCACCAGCGAGCCTTTGTTTTCTCTTGATTGTGAAGACGCCTTTCTTCTCTTCCATAATGCTCCATAACTCTTATTGTTTGGTTTGTGACGTCACAGTGACAATTCATGATGATGTTCATAACGAGGATGATGACGAAAAGAAAACAATGGCGAAAATGGCGATCAGAAAACAAACGAAAAAACAAAAATATAATACACAATGATCACAATTATTTATCAATTTATCAAATTCCATGATGCTTAATAGTAATTCATGAAACGATTTAACAACAAATACGCCAATTCACAAAGAGCGTTTATAACGATAGCCAGTAATATTACTTTCAAATGTCAGTGAGCTGAAAACTTCTGTGGCAAGAGATGTACGCAGACCGTGACACATAAGTATAAAAACTTGCTCTTAAAGGCGCGGCCAAACGCACGCAACATTTCAACATCTTGCAATATTGTTGGATGGCGTTGTAAGATGTTATAAAGGAGCTGGCCAAATGTGCGCAACGTCTTGCAACATTTTCAAGCTAGATCCAACATCTTGCAACATGTTGCTATAGGGTGACCAAGCGTGTGCAACACGGTGCGTGCAACAATGTTGCAAGATGTTGCGTGCTTTTGGCTGGGCCTTAACATCATTTGCCTCTAAACGCTCAATATTGTAACCCTGGCAGCTTATTTCACATTAGAGATCACCCCTTATTCAAACTCTGAGGGCATGAGAATAAAGCAACTGATCGACAACTTGAAAAGTTCTTGATCATTCAAATAATTCTCTCTTGTCTATTGTATGTGCATACTAATGATAGGGTGTAAAGGGTTTATGGCTCCCACGATATTTCACGATATTAGGAGGGGATGCGGCCAGAAGTGATGACGATCACTCTGACGATGACGAAAAAGAAAAAGATATCAATCGGATTGATTTATCAAGTTACATCTTGCTTTACATCGATTCACTGCAAAATTAATCTGTAGAAGTTTTCACCACTTTCAATACACTTTTTTTTTATCCATTAGATTGCGACGCTAATCCTTGTAAAAACGGTGGAACGTGTATAGAAGTACCCAGTACAAAAACTTACAAATGCAACTGTGCGGATGCATTCACAGGCAAAAACCGTTCAGAATCAACAGTCGTCGAGGGGGAACAAACAAAACCTACTAAGGAATACCAATAGACCAATTTACGATTTATTTTACTAAAATGTCGTTAAATCTCAGCCAAATTAAATCTTAAAAACGATTGCTGAAAACAAGCGAAGTAGCAAAGAGTGTGGCCTTCTCTAACAGTTGTACTTGTTTTCCATTTCGTAGCAACTGTTGCAAGTCTTGATAGAAGCAATGAACAACCTGAAAATGGAAATGACTATGACTTTGAGCTTATATTCAGAAAAACTCAACATACGAGCTATGTGAAACACGATATGAATAAGAAGTGGGTTGATCACTTTACAGTCTGTGCCTGGATACACACACCAGATTTACAACAGAGCCAAGAGATGACTGTGATAAGTATTTTGAACGAGAATGGTGGCAACCAAAACGTTGTGAGATTGAGAATCGACGGAGAAGGCAACATTTATTTTTCATTTAGACGTGACAGGTAAGGAGTTTTTGTGAGCCACAATTATCAGAGAAGAATCATTCACCCTGTCATTATCAATTTATATAGGCGCTTTTTTTCGTTTAAATAGAACAGACTTTTCCTGTCGATTCTTTTAGCTAGGAATTTTTTGCTTCAAAGGCTGATTTTAAGACAAGTATATCAACAGTCAAGCGTCCTTTCGTAACAAAATAAAAAAATTAAATGTTTATGTTTAAGTTAAGTAGTACGTGTTTAAAACGAAGAAAAAAATATTGTTAGCTTTGATAAGATTGTTGAAATGTTAGTTAATAATTACTCACTGATACTGACGTAAATAACTGTTTTAGTATTTACCACACAGAAACCAAAAATATTAGCTAATTTCTGTCAATAAACCAAAAAATGATCGGAAATTAAATTGTTGACGCGCGATTTTGTCTCTTTGGCTGCTTGGAGGTGAATATTACTTGCTGATCAGCGCGCGCGAAAGGCACTACTGGCCTGTGTGCTATATACTAAAATGAAAAGAGCTACATAAATTCAGTTATATTCAATACTATAGGGGATAAAGAGATTACCTTTTAGTAGATACTTGCGTTTTTTTCCTGAAGGACCTTCCTTTCCAACGTATTCGCTACCAGTTCTCCGAAGAATGAAATGGTCTTCCTTTGTGTTCGTATCCAACCTAACCAGTCTCCTAAAATAGAAGCGATCGTAAATGCAGATTTCGGTTCAAAAAAAACTAGCAACGAAGTTAATTAAAAAGCCGTCAGTGGACTCAAGTAATCATCGGACAAAATCAAAACAGAGACGGAACTATTACAAACGACACCCTATTCTATGGAAGGATTTCGAACTTAAACATCTGGTTTAATCTCCCTGATCACGATATTACAAATTGGTTCAACGGAGGTCGGAAAAATACCGAACCTAGCATCCTTAAATGGCCACAACTTGGTTCTTCCGAGAGATTTGGAGACGTTCATTTTGTAAAGGTCACTTCTGCTGAGAGACGTAAGTTTAATGGACTTGATACTCTGCCTTATTATCTAACTGCACTAAGTAGATTGCGAATAACGCGCGAATCGAGTACAAATATCCTGCGATATTGTACAGTTGGTTATTTTGTATAGAAAAAACCTGTTTAATCGGTCTACTGCGCGCGCTCCGCTTCTCTATCTGCCTCGCTTTTCCTACTCTTAAAGAAATGCGCATGAAATAAAGCAGTTGGATCATAAATATCTTATCAGATTAGACTCATTGTTTGTAGTTTGACACGCTCTCCGAGCTCGTCAAGATACGGCACAACTCATAAATATACTCAGTGATACTACATACCAAAATGTTTAATATGATAGATTTATAGTGCTTAATGCAAAGTTAAATTCATCTAGAAAAAGTGGGTGGGAAGAAATGGAGAGTAGGAAAGTGCTCAAGGACACCCGACTTTGTGTCGTTTACCAATAACCCGAGGACAAGCTATATTTGAAGCACAAAGCAAAGGAAACTGCTCATCAGCCATTAGAGAGGATTTGGAGGTCTGACAAGGCTTGAAGGAGGGTTTTGGAGCCCTCTGACGCTCCCCAATAGATTCGCCCACGTCTACACTTTAACGAAGGCTACTAACCTAATAAAAACTGTGTTTTTAATTATTACACTAAGTCGAACTATCGGTTGTATACTTTAGTTATGGTGAGTGATTCTTTATTTTTCTGTTTAGAGTGGCGTGACGTTTCAGATGGTGAGGTGAATGTACTAACAACAAATGATGTTTCGGCGACGAAATCTTTTGAAAGTGGATCTGGAGTAGTTATCGAAGTTGAGCGTCAGTCACCAGTCTCTTGTAGCAATGCAATCGATTCGGTCACAGTTGACGGCGTGTTGATATCTGTAGATGGAAGCTGGAAACGAATCAAATACAAGCAGACGTTCATGGGAACTCAGAAATGCTTTGCAATTTTTGGAAGCGTTCCTAACTGGTGAGATATTTACTTTATCTCTCATATTTCTCTTGTTAGTATCGTCCATCTGGAAAGTTGCAGGAAGGGGAGGGTGGGGATACTTTGGTATTCATTAATAAACCTTGAAAAAGACTTTGAAAGGTCAGTGTGCCAACTTTCTTTCTATCTAAGGAACTCGCTGTGCATGGAATTGTTTCGCGAATTTAATTTTCCATTCCCCAACCCCTCCTCGAACTATTTTTTCTTATATTGAGTGAGAAGACATCTGTGTATTTCATGAACTTGCAGTTTTGGAAAGTCACTGGGTTTTCTGGCTGTCAACGTCGTTTATTTGGAACGGCTTCAACTCACGTGTTTTAAAGCCCTGAGAAAAAGCAATTACAACATTATCTGGAGAAAAGCAAAAATAACGTGTCATAGAGGACTCAGTTTACGTTTTTGATGTCAAACGCGGGAAAACAGGGGAATTTCAGGCTGTGTCGTTACTTGAACAAAGCAGTGACTTTTTTATTTCGGCCAAAAGAACTTTTTGCCCAAGTAACAATCCTTGGTTAATTCTTTCATCACCACAGGGCCTCTGGTATATTCAATCCCCGTGTTTCGGATTTCGACCTTGATTTGGATGAACTTTGGAAAGAAGAATATCTTGGCCCAAACGGTAACAAACGCATCTAATAAACCTTGTAAGGGATTTAAAGTTAACTGGTAACGTCACTTAAGTAGGTGTGCCTTATCAGCCTAAAATAATTTGCTTTAGTAAGTTTTTCCCTTAATTCTCAGATTAAAATTATGAAACCGTTCAAAAATGACGATAGAACTTCACCATGTGATATATAATATAAAACTATTTAAAGCCCTCTCTCCTTCCCTCGTTAAGGAAAGGAATACAGCAGAGTTAAGGCACTGAAAAACTTATCAATAACAGGGCTAGTTTGTATTTAGCGAATACTTCACTTGTAGTTATATTATTTGATGACTCTTGGGTCCGAACCTCACTCGACGTTTCCTTTGCTCCAAAGTCTCACCGTTACATCAATTTGTTTTGGACAAAAATAGATCATCGTGGTGTGATCTGTAAGACTGTGCTAATATACATAGGAAAAACATCTGTGTAGAGTTCAGCTATTGATGATAACAATAAGCATGCTGATGATTAAACACTGTAGTACTACATTAGATTTGTCTCCCTGTTATTTTCAAGGTAATCATTTCGATGGCGTGAATGCTTTGTGCGGTGATGAACACTTTTGGATGGTAAATCAACAAAATACACCTGTAGCCGGAGTCAGTCTGAGACGAGAGAGCGGCGCGTCAAATGCTGGGATATCCACCTTTGGCAAGTGTGGGATGTTCAAGTTCAAAATTTCTGAAATTCGTGTTCTGGAATAAAAAATTCTGTATCAAGTCCTGGCTAATCCAAATTGTTATTGGCGACACAAGTGGCAGTCCTCTCCCCAGCTGATGCTTGTGATGTCATGACAGAAATGTTACGTGGCATCCCAAACAAAGGCTTCGAAAGAGAAGAAACACGTTGCTGCCTTTAGGGCCTTTGACTGGCTAGGACTTGAGCCCGTGATCAATTGATAAGTTTGTGCAGTTAAATCACTTTTTAAGCACATCAGCACTATGACTGTAAATTGCACTGGAAGCAGAGCTGAAAATCACTTCACGTTGAAATAATTAGACTTCTCGCTATTTTATAGACAATGATAGTCGAATGAACACAAACTGTTGAGGGAAGACGATCAAGATCTCACATTTAGCTTGTTTTCACTCGTTCTAAGGCCGTTTTTTTCATATCTAATTATAAGAATTGACACAACAAACAGCCTGTGGCTAAAAGTAGTCATGTTCTCACTTCACTTTAGAGGCGAAAACGGGAATATATGGATAAGTTGCTGGGTGTTGTACTACCGTTGTAATATTTTGAACAAGGTTTATGGTATGTAATGTTAAAGGTTTGTAGTTCATTAATTCCAAAAATTTTTGTTTAAACTCGTGTTGAAATTATACTAGGGAAGGAGGTACTGGGAACTAGTTTAGACTTCGCACTTATTATAGATAACTTGTCTGAGGATTTTTACCAAAGAAAATGCTGAAATAAAATTACTTCGCACTGAAAACCCACTTAGTTGTCGTATGGTCAGAAGTTTTCAAATGTTGGTTCGCCACCTGGTGAGTCAGTATGAACTGTTAGTGTGACTCTTGGGGCGCAGGGTATTCCAATAAATGAAGTTACTTATGTGTTAAAAAGCAAACAGAAGATAATCAGAAAACAAACATAGGTGAATCAGAAGACTTGTTATCATTATTTGGAACGAAAGGGACTGGTGCCAGGTTTTTTAATATATCACTCGAAGTACAAGTACTAGGTGCCAACGCCATCTTTAATGTTGCTTGTTTCCACAATATATTCTATTCGTGATTATAGTTTTAATTCCTTGGTAACTGCTCGAGAATGTGGTGTGAGATTTTGCCAGACCAGTCACATAAAAAATCAAAATAGAAAAATACCGGATTACAGATTACTCTCGACACTCAAATGAAAAATTCTCCACTGAGTTAGAATCCGCGGGAAACTAAGCGCCTTGAACCGCTTTGGGGTGTTATTTCGCCTGCTTGTTCGCTTATCCGCTAACTTAATTGAACCGAGACCAATACAAGGCTTAAACATGCTTTGAAGCTGCTTTGTCAAACGAGATCGAGAATTGTTTTCTACATAGAAGCTACTTAAACCGATGTTTGTCGACTTCAGTTGTTGCACATAAAAAAAATTAAGTTAGCGAGTACTTTAATCCTATGGAAATTAGAGCTCTTTAGTTCTCTGTTTGTGATTTTCATTTAGTAAAACCCGGTTTAACCAAGCATTGTTTGCTGGTGTGAATGAGGTACAAGAGAGTCACGAGTAGGGAAATATTCCTTCTTTATGTTTTTCGAGGAAAACGAAACAGTTTACACACATACACAGGGAACAGCAAGGAACACAAAGGGGAGAAAATGGACGAAAATGACAAATATTTCATTCTTCTTCCTGAGCTAGCTTTGCGATGGAAAAATTTTCCTCGGCAGTAGACATAATATATAACAAATTTACATTATAAAGCGAATGAAGTTGTTTTAATTGAAACCTCTGGACTCTCAGGGTGCAAGAGTGGATGGTCGAATGGGATTCCCCACTTCACCGGACTAGGTGCTCTTGTAGCGAGGTATTTTATGAGGTCGCCCTTGTTACACAATGCAAGAACACCTGTTCGAGATCAATGAAATATATATTTTTATTTCGATTAAAACATGAGACCAATTCGTCCAGTTGCAGATATATAGAGGTTATATGTTATCAACTATAAGCAAATGAAAATAGAAAATTACCATTCCAGATTACTCTCGACATTCAAATGAAAATTTCTCCACTTAGCTAGAATCCGCTGGAAATTCAGCGCATTGAGCCGCTTTCGGAGCGTTTTTTCGCTCGCTTATTCGATTATTCGATTGAAATGAGACCGAGAGAGTCACGGATAAGAAAATATTCCTTTTCTATGTTTTTTGAGGAAAACGAAACAGTTTATACGCAACGTTTAATTTTGTTTACTCGAGTTTCTTCAGTGGCTATCACACACGCACAAGGAACAGCAAAGAACATATAGGGGAAAGAATGGACGAAAAGAGATCTTAATATTACTGATATTTTATTGTTCTTCTTGAGCTGGCTTTGCAATAGGAAATTTTCCTCGCCGGTAGAATTATTTGATGATAAAGGAAATAAACACAATAAAGCGAAAAATAGCGTTTTAATTGAAACCT